TAGAATGCAGCAGAAACGCCGCGATCCTTCCCCTGAATAACGAAAGATTTTGAAAGCCCAAAGACGGTTACCATTTGCATAAAATAAAACGCAAAAGAGTAATAAGGAAAGGCAAAAGAAGAATGAGTCCTGATATTCGGCCGAATTTCCAATGCAGTCCTCGGAAATACTATTCAAATCCTTAAACATTTCTCACATTCAGAGGTTAAACAGTTAAAACATAATTGAGACAATTAGAATGATTATACTTATTGTAATAGAAATCCTGGATAGTTTCGAGTATATTTAGATAATATCATACAAGATCAAATAATTTTCGAAAAATTGGAAATAAATGCCTACATATTTCCTTAATTAATTAGTAATAGCCCGAATTTTCAATGGAATCCTTGGAAATATTAAGTCCTGATACATCTCGCACACTCAAAGATTCATTGTGGAAATATTTCTAGTACTTATTTTGAAATAAATCATATTGCATGCAAGAAATTCTGGGACTTCTTCGTCTATAAAGGGTGTTCAATGTAAGCCAAAAATTTGCAAAATTGTTTTATGCAAGAAGTCTTAGAACATCTACATCTGTAAAAACATATCACTTTGTAGTTTCACAATCTAAAATGATGTATTGAAACCAACGGCTAGATATTCCCTTAATTAATTATTAAGAACCCGAATTTCCAATGGAATCCTTAAAAATATTAAATCCTGATACATCTCGCACACCCAGAGATTCATTGTGGAAATGTTTCTAATATTTTGAAATAAATCATATTGCATGCGAAAAGTTCTGGGACTTCTTCGTCTATAAAGGGTGTTCAATGTAAGCCAAAAATTTGCAAAATTGTTTTATGCAAGAAGTCTTAGAACATCTACATCTGTAAAAACATATCACTTTGTAGTTTCACAATCTAAAATGATGTATTGAAACCAACGGCTAGATATTCCCTTAATTAATTATTAAGAACCCGAATTTCCAATGGAATCCTTAAAAATATTAAATCCTGATACATCTCGCACACCCAGAGATTCATTGTGGAAATGTTTCTAGTACATATTTTGAAATAAATCATATTGCATGCGAAAAGTTCTGGGACTTCTTCGTCTATAAAGGGTGTTCAATGTATGCCAAAAATTTGCAAAATTGTTTTATGCAAGAAGTCTTAGAACAACCACATCTGTAAAGGATGTTCAAAGTAAACCAAAAATAGTTTAAAATAATAGAAACCAATGGTAACATCTTTTCTTAATTGCTATCTAACTTGACTTTTATGCAATATCAATCATTTCACTTTTGTAAATATGAAATATTGAAAATTCACTCACCTTATTCTAATGAATTTCGTCAATAAATCCACAACCATTATTTTAAATTGCCACAAGCACTTCCCCAACACAAACACATTCCGTTTTAATCGACGATACTGTTACTAGCAAGCGCGAATGAGTTAGAAACTTTCTAAGATAAGAGACAGATGTTTTAACCTTAAAGTGGTAATCAAATTCAGTTATCACTCCAGACATGTTTCGCATATCAATCATTGTATGAGACACGAAAGTCCATGTGATTTTACGATAAAATTATCCTGCTGTAAAACATTGAAAGAAAGAATTGAAAACAGGGAGAGATAGACGCAAAATTAAATCGGACGTAATTAGAATGATTGTACTATAAATTATAAGACAAACCCTGAATAATTTCGAGTATATTTAAGAAATAACTAACAGTTTTATCTCAACACGTTTGTTAACAGTTTTAATGATTATTACTTCATGATGCAGTAAAATCTAACGAGAAATAGCAGGTTCATTTTGGGCAGTGAACATAAAAGAATCCTCTAGATAACGTTTCGACCTTATTCATTTAGTCTAGATAAGGTACAATACATTTCTGCTCAACGACTAGCAAGGCATCACAATTACCAACAAACTCGCCCTCCGTCTTTAACCCTTTTCCTTTAAAACGCTCGGCTTAAGAAAGCGAACTCATTTGACTTCCCTATTCGACACTTTACCTGTTTATAAAGGATAATAAAGGCTTATTGCACAGGCGAAACGACGCCATATTTCCTATGCCACCTACCCCGACGTCGCGGCGTCGTCTTTGCGACGACTCTTAGTCGCACCCCGGGACTAAGATATGACACCGGCTTAAAACCCCTCGAAACATTAAGCATCACTTTTATTAAAAGACATATACATACGTACATATACACACGTCGATGTCTTCAACACAGAGCACTCCTAGTAGATAAAAGCACAAAGGTAACTACGCTTTTTTGTCACAATCTATCAAGGATGAAACTTGAAATGCAATAATAAAATTTAAATCCACAAATTGTAAGTAAATAGGTAATAATATTCTGGTCGAAACTGACAGTAGAAGTTACATCATCATCATCATAGGGTCGTCAGTCCTAAGACTGATTGGACACGTACCTCCACTCTTTCCTATCCTGAACTAAACTTTGCATTTCCCTAAAACTAGAACAACCCACATCCTTAACTATCTGTAAACAGTAATCTAACCTAGGTCTATCTCTACCCTTCCTAACTCCTGTTTCTGCCTCTAATATGTCTGACTAAACCTTCATGCCTGAGAAGGTGTCCTACCAACCTATCTCGCCTATTTTTTATTGACTTCCATAGAGTCCTCTGTTCTCTTACTCTTTATAATATCTCTTCATTTCTAACCTTCTCTACCCACGATATCATCATCATCCGCCTATAACACCACATTTCGAAGGCCTCTAACCTTTTCTTTTCCGCCGCGCCAACTGTCCATGTTTCGCACCCGTACAACGCCGCGCTCTAAACATACACTTTTAACAACCTTTTTCGAATTTCTAAATTAACCGCTCGCGAGCATGGAAGTGACTTTCTTTTATTAAAGGCGACACGACCCTGTGCTATCCTCTGCTTTATATCCCTACTACTCCTTCCGTCCTGACTTATCTGACTTCCTAGATATCTAAAATCAGCCACTTCTACTAATTTTTCGTCTCCTATCTTTATATTCGCTCTTTCCCTACTTTTTCTTCCCTTGCATAACAGTATTTTAGTTTCTCTTTTATTTATTTTCATACAGTACTGATCTGTCAGTACCGCTTCCATTTTATTTAAAGCTATCTCTAGGTCCTCCTTGCTAGATGCTTCAGTTACATATATTAAAAATAACTTAGCAGGTTTATAATTTAAAATAATAAAAGCCAAAATGGTAACATTTTCTTGAGAACCATCTTAGGTACTTTTCTTAACAAGAAACTATCAAAATTGACTCATTTTCTTTTGGAATTCATTACCAAGTCCACGAAGATTTCATTATGGTCGCAAAACGTTGAAATTTTGCTGAATTTAATCAATAAATAATACAAATTAGGACCAACGACCTACCCCAAATACAACTGTAATTACCAATTTTCATTGGGTAAGTTTTATTTATAATTATACTTATTAAATTATTATTGGTGGTGGTAGTATTTTCTTTTTTTTCTCTGTTCAGAGTACAGCATCACACATTTGGGCACCTGTCCCATTCATCCACTGGCGCTGGTACCTATACTGCAGTTACATAATCCTAATACGTAATGCGATTACGTAAGTAATTTACAAAGTTCGGAGCTGGGGCCGTTTGCGAGAACAAAGAATTTAATAGTGTTTGACAGCGTCTCGCTTACAATATCCGTCGACGTAGGGGGTTCCCCGTCAAATGACAATATCGCCTACACCTACCGTACCGTAACGACCTGTCGTCTGTCACTAACTTTGTCAACGAAAATCGACACAGCCTATGTAGTAATATAGGTGATAATGGTATCTAACTAACAATCTGTATATCGGGCAAGTATGTGTGTTTGGTGTCACAGACAGCTTTAGCTATAAAATGACATGATCGTAATGAATTTTATGGCCTTTCAATAATGAGAAAATATACGCGCATTTTATACATACAAAGGACATTCTCTTTTGTTATGGCCGCAGTTATTTACTGAAAATATACGAGGTAATATGCGAAGAAATCGAGGTCAATAATATAGAAAAAGGCTTGAACCATTGTCAACATAAAAGATGAAATAAACTGCTCGGCTATGTGTTTTTCTTTATTTCAGGATCGTATGCAGGGTAGACACTTTCTGGAAAATCAGGTAACTTAAATGATTTTCTAAATCTGTAAAGAAATCATTTAATGAAATGTGGATGCATTCTTGTAGCATTAATCATGACTGCAGATCTCTAAGTAGATTTAGAAATTTAGGTTCCTATTTAATAAGAAATATGTAGAAATCTCACTTCTTAAACGGAGCTTGTGGCTACAAAAAATTATCCTATTCTAATACCACATCCTCATCATTCTATTGCTTTTTGTTTCTACTACCATTTTGTATTTTACGACTGCCATTTTGGCTTTGTAGAAACAAATCCTAACCTATAACCACCGGATGCTATATACATCCCCGTTGATTAAAAATGCATCTGGTCGCTAAAGCTGTGTTTTGAAGGAAAAAAGATCCCACACAAACCCTGCTACCCCTGAAAAATATAACCCACTTTTTGTTGTCCCCCCGCAGGGTAAACCAGGAAACTTACCTTATAAAGATATTAATTAATCGAAAGAAATAATATAATGCATAGTTTATTTATCTATAAGTACATATAAATAATAAATAAAAGTGTCTGCCTGAAGTAATGTCGAAAGCTTAGTGATTTAGGGTAAGCTTTCTATTTGTTTATTGGCCATAACAATTGTATTTGTTAGAAAAATATTGGAAATAGCCTCAGGTCAGGAGTATAAATGCATCTGATGTATATATATAAAATATAAAATCCATAAGGCTTAACAAAATTTATTTTGTTTTTTATAACACCAATGCACAACATAATCGTACAACAAATTCATAATAGTTGCAAAGTTATGCGTAATTGTTTGAGTGCATTTATTATTTAATTAATTTAATACTTAATTAATACATGAGTGTAGGCAAATACGCAACAAATAATATAAACATTTCTGGTTATTATTAATAAAATAACTTACGTTGTCCTTTTAGTTGCTTACAAAAATTATTCTAAAGGCGCCGATTCGACCTCGCAAAAGTACTGATTTTGCATGGAATAAAGTCGATCGATCGGGTTCAACCCCATGATATTCAGATGGGGAGGATTTTGGTGGGCAGGCGGGGGTGACAAAAACAATGTGGCGCCATGGTTTCCAGGCAAATTCGAACCAAAATTGAAACCATTCAATAAATTTGATTGATATTTAGTGTGAAGTGATTCTACGAACAAGAATAAACAGAAAACATGTATGGTACAGGCAACGATAAATCTAAACGACTTTCAAGCATCGATCATCAAAACTATTCCCTAATACAATGTCTGGAATGTTAAAGATAAAATCGATGCAAAGGGGAGAAAAAGAGGGAAGGGGTAGAGATAGTTAGTAATGTGGGATCTAGTAGTTTCCTATCGACTTTAAAACAAAAACAAAAGATTATAGGTTACCACTAACGCGTTAACTTATTTTTGATATATTCACCTGATGGCAAACTAATTGAACATTAGATATCTCTCAGCCTCTGCAAACATTAAGTAAGAGGGAGAGAGATGTCCACTAACACATTCGATTATTAGGAAACATAGACGGTGGGCGCGGCAGAAAAAAAAAGGTTAAAAGCGTTCGAAATGTGGTGTTACAGGCGAATGATGAGGAAACCGTGGATAGGGAAGATTGAAAATGGGGATGAGGCATCAGAAAGAATGGGAAAACAGAGATCACTATGGAAGACAATAAGAAATAGGCGAGATAGGTTGGTAGGACACCTTTTTAAGCATGAAGAGCTAGTTAGAGACATATTAGAAGCAGAAATAATTGGTAGATGCTCTGGTGTTAGGAAAATATGAATTACTTACCAGCGATTTGTTGAGTATTATGATCTTGTTTATTTTTAAAAAAGTTCTCGTCGTTCTCTGTTTCCTCTTTTATGTGTAAAAAATGTTTAGAGTCGTTGTGCAACTGTTGAAAGAATCCAACTGTGGTCGAGTCCAAATCAGCATCATTACTACAACTATCATTTAAAAACGAACTGGATCGAGGGCCTAAAAATTTACGCAATTTTACTTTATCGAGTATATACCAATATAAAACTTATGCAAATCTGACTCTGTTCTTCCTCCTTCAGTCCTAATTTTTTCTCATCATTTTCTACATCCTTAACGTCTTTATTATCTTGACGTGCTTTCTTTTGCATTTTCTTCACCTTCGCCCTTTGATTTTGAAACCACACCTAGCAACGAAAGCTTTCTAAAAAACATGGCTCATTAAAAGGTAAGACGCCGTAAGCAATTGTAGCAGTGCGAAGGTTCGAAATGGGTACAATTGATGGCCCATGGTGTGTTACAGTATTTTGAAAATCGAGGTGTGCAATTTTGAGTAAAATTTTTCTGTAGCATTACATGTGTATCGTAAAAGCATAACCCTAGGGACCCACAATGGGTCATCAACTGAACTCACTTCTAACCTTTGCCCAGATCCCACGGTTATGACGTCTTATCCTTTATTTGCACTCGACTCACTTGTACTATCCTAACACTAAGTCCAGTGTCTTTAGCAAGATTTTCGCGGACTTTTCGACTCGGTTTGGGACTTATTTCAAAAGAAGCCTTGAACGCCCTGCGTTGCTGAGTGGTGAGTATTGTTCTGGGCCGTTTCGGTCCCCTCCTTCCGTCAGATGATCGTGATGATTGTGTAAATTCATCACAGAAAAAATCACCTTAAATATATACCTACTGTCAATTTCTTGAAATATTTTTAATACGTATCTATATTTACTATGGTATACGTTTAAGCCTTTAGATGCCTTGTTCTGCCCTACCTTGATTGTAACCTTGCAACATTTCTACTTCTTTCTCGTAGTCAGGCTTGCAAAAGACTTGTCCTTGTTTAAAGACATATTGGTCCCCTTTTTGCAATCGCATACCGCATACCACGCACGCAAAACACCGAACGTGAAAAACACTATCGCATGTTTTCATAACCAATTCTTCAGGCGAAATGCGTTCGGAGCATCCCAGACATTTTTTGCTATATATTCTACAAAATTAAAAACTATTTTCAACTGGACACCTAATAGAGTCTTTATCTAGGGAGATGTGGTTCCCGATAACTCGCTGGGTGAGTCTACCTCAATCATTTTAGTCAAAACATTTGCACATAAATTACCTACAATAAGAAAATGTTATACTTCATGTCTGAATTTTTAAGGAGATCATAATAAAATGTATTATTGTACAAATCGAGGATATCGGAGAGTTTTATCTCTTTATCCGACGTTTCTGTCAAATATGCACCCTCCCTCTATCCGTTCAAAATAGCCTTTTGGCATGCGATCTGATCGGCAGAATGTGAAATATAAGAACACGGTTAAAAAGCCATGCTCGGGAACGACATTAGGCGTCATATGTAACGCATTACCGCGTGCACCATCGCTTAAAGCCCCCCATAAAGGCAGCAGGTGACGCTAACTAGATCGCCGGCTTGGCCAAAAAAAAGGGGGGAATGGAAAAAGAAAAGAGGAGAAGGTCCTCCGGCCTATTATTACGAAAACGTGTTCTTATTTCACGCAAAACGAACGGATACCAAAATCGGACTTTATTTTATAAATTAAGGCAACTAAGTTTTACTGGCGGCTTAGTTCTTTTTGATGTTCTTAATACGTGTCAAAAATCATCGACAACCACATTAAAATAATTTTTTTTTCTATCCCTCGGGAACTGCATGTTTTTCTGGATAAAAGGTATCGCAAGTCCTTTTCGAAAGAGCAAATATAAAGATAGGAGATGAAAAATTAGAAGATGTGACTAATTTGAGGTATCTATAGGAAGTCAGATAAGTCAGGACGGAAGGAGTAGTAGGGATATAAAGCAGAGGAAAGCTTCAAAAGAAGTCACTTCTATGTCCGCGAACGGTTAATTTAGAAATTCGAAAAAGGTTGTTAAAGGTGTATGTTTGGAGAGCGGCGTTGCACGGGTGCAAAGCATGGACGGTGTACGCTGCGGAAAAGAAAAGGTTAGAAGCGTTCGAAATGTGGTGTTATAGGCGAGTGATGAGGATAGATAAGGTTAGAAATGAAGAGGTATGAGAAAGAATAGGAGAACACAGAGGACTCTATGGAAGTCAATAAGAAATAGGCGAGATAGGTTGGTAGGACACCGTCTCAAGCATGAAGGTTTAATCAGAGACATATTAGAGGTAGAAACTGGAGTTGGGAAGGGTAGAGATAGACCCAGATTAGATTACTGCTCACAAACAGTTAAGGGCGTGGGATGTTCTAGTTTTAGTTTTTAGTTTTCTGAAATTAGTTGTTGGATTAGGATGTTGATGATACATATATCTGTGGGAACTTTTGGTAGAAAAGATATTTCAAACTTTTTTAAATTCTAAAGTATACGTATGTTGACCCTTAACTTCCCCTTTTACTCCTGTGTACTATTCCAACACAAATATGACAGTACATAACTCACACAGGTACTTTTAGATACAATTGAAATTTTGTTTCCCATCGTTACAACAGTCTCCCATTCGTATCATGGACATACAGTAGCACACGTTTCGAATTGTTCTGAATAAATAAATAAGTATAATATTTGGCGAAAGATTTCAGTATTTGTGTAAACTCACGCTGGTTTGAACGAATGCAGAATAATAAATATAAACTGTTGGTGCGGTGATGGTGTGCTTCCCGTCGTTCACATAGATATACAGTGGACTGCACGTGTGGCCTCCAGTCCTGTAGGATATTAAATCACGGACGAGTGACAGGGCACACGGTCTCCACTGTCAACCCCGTTGTGTAAACATTGCCGCTCTTTTACAGTCCACACCCACGATATCAACCAAGTAGGCAGCAGCACAGTTTCAAAAGAACGATCTCAATAATTGTTAATCAAAAACATTCAAAGAAAATGTGTGTGTGGCGCCGTTTCCAAGTTTCCAAATTTTAAAACAATCAACAAGTTTCCAATAGAAATCGGTGGGTTTTCTTTTGTTTTACAAGTTTGTTTATTACCCTGGTTACTGTTTCGCTTATACTTAAATATATAGTAACAATTGAAAAGTTATTTATTTCTTAACAAAATATACTTATTTGTGTCTGGTTATGAATGATGATCAAAATCTAGAGCAGCATGAATCTTCCGTACAACACGTGCCCCTATGACAAAAACGTGCCCACGATTGAATATTAATGTCTTCCAACCCATGGTCATCATCAACGTCATCCTAGCTTCGATATTACGTTTAATGTGATCGCAAGAACTAAACCAAAGTCATTTTCCACGACTGAATCCAAATCAAATTGATAGTGGGTGCATAAATTACACAGATTATGCGAAAAAACAGGTGTGCTAGCTGAACAATATGGACCTACCCCCAAAACCGACGCTGTATCATGGGGTGAATGCGGTAAATCTATTCAAAATTCAAGTGACCAGTTTTTGTTCATAAAATCAATTCGGCAAAATCAATTTCATCATAGTAATTACGAATCTCATCTAACCGCATTGTTTTGTCCAATTTTACCCTTTTCAATATTTTTCTGTTTTAATTTACTTATTAAGCAAAGAAAACTTCCAAGTGTAAAACAATTTTTAAAAACGGGTACGTCCGGAAAAGTTAGTTGCATTTGGATCTACACGGTAAGACTGAATTTGACTATACACGGAAAAATGAAAATTTACCTAAATATTAAAGAGATATTTATAGTTTATCCCACTAGCCCGTTGCTTCATAAGCGAAAATAATAAAAAATAGTTAGAAAGTTAGAAATGAAGAGGAATTAGAAAGAATAGGAGAACAGAGGACTCTATGGAAATCAATAAGAAATAGGCGAGATAGGCTGGTAGGACACCTTATTAGGCATGAAGGTCTGGTCACATATTAGAGGCAGAAGCAGGAGTTAGGAGGGGTAGAGGTAGACGTAGGTTAGATTACTCTTCGCAAATAGTTAAGGATGTGGGATGTTCTAGTTTTAGGGAAATCCGAAGTTTAGCTCAGGATAGGAAAGAGTGGAAGTACGTGTCCAGCCAGTCTTAGGACTGACGATGTTATGACGATGATGATGATGAATACCACATTGTATTTCTGATTTGCAATTTACCCCAATTTCAACGTTTTTCACCATTGGTTTGCTTGAAACGACAAAAGCTCCAACAAAATCGTAAAATTGTAGAACAATTTAAGAAAAAAGTTTTCGCCAGATAATCTATATTTAGGAGTCAATATTTTAGCGTGCGTGGGGATCGAAGTGTCGCGCGTTCGCCAAAGTTTCAGGAAACAATTGCTCGAAGAAAAGCCACACGTGACATAATGATAACAGTAATGTATTTTAAACCGTCCATAACAAAGCGATATATCTCAATTTCAATCGAGGATTTTCGCGGGCCAATAGTCACAAACAGTCGCGGCAGGGCTTTCCCCAATCCCTTCGTCGAACACACACACGCATGTTTATATACGTATCTAAGTATATACGTGTATAGTACATAAGTACATAAAGTCCCCGGTTTGACGTATATATGAGCCGAAGGATTAGGGTGAAAGCGAGGAAAGCCAAGCAAGGCGGCTCAGCAAAAGACCACCCCCAGTGCAATATGTTCTCCTGCAGCATCAGTTTATATTGTTATTGGGAAGAATACGTCACAAATACAAGGTGGCGCCTACATTTCCAATCTTTAAATGCACGAAAGGCCGATTAATTATAGTAAGGGCAACAGAAAACAAAAATTTCGTTCAGCATATTTGGAAAATTATCCTTACGGAGGAAACTACATTAAAAGTCCTAATTTTTATTGTGTAGAGGTTATAAAACTAAGGTTTTGGTAGGAAAAGGCAATACCAACGAACTGATCTTTATAAATAAATAAAGAATATCTTTATATATAAAAGAAAGTCGTTTTAGTTGCACTATTTATAACTCAAGAACGGCTGAACCGATTTGGCTGAAAATTGGTGGGGAGATAGATAAGAAAACGTAACTGACATGGAATGACAAAACGCAACTGATTTTTCAATCAAAACATCAGTCTAGCCGAAGCTGAAAGGGGTTTGGAAAGATTGCATGTTTGTTTTTGGTCCGATTTACTTGAAACTGGTTGAAAAATTCAATCCCTGTTGAGGGGGATGAACTTTGACAGTAAAGTACATATATAAAAATAGTCTTTGAAGTTTCAGTTTCATTTCAAAATTTCGAATAGGGGATGAGTGGTGAAAAGGAGTTGCAATGTTTAAATCGAACATATATTATTTGTGGTCAGATTTACTTGAAACTTGGTCTTGATGGTCTCTCATTTAAGTTCTGAAAGACCTATCTTGACATTTTAAAAAATTCGACCTCCAAAGGGGGGGAGGGGTTGCATTTTTGTTTAGGACATACTTTATTTGTGGTTGAATTTACTTGAAACTTGATATATATATATGCTGTTTGATATTATTAATCAAATGAAAAAAATGTTGCAACGTTTCTATGGGGTATATTTTATTTGTACTCGGATTTACTCGACGGTTGCTCATTGTTGAAATTAAGCAAATACGTGTTTTGGCTATTTTTAAAAATCAACCCTTAAGGATGAAATGTTGTTGCTACGTTTGTATTTGAAATCTAAGATGACGACATTACATAGAATTAAAACGTTGTAAGGGTGAATTGGGAGTTAAAAGGTTTTATGGAGAAACAATATTAATTTCTGCAAGCGAAACCGCGGGAAAAGGCTAATACTATATATAACTCTGTATCACGTCACTTTGAAAAGTCCTTTCGTGCCTAGAAATTAGGATGCAGTTCTGATAAGGACGAATGCTAATTTGTTTTGTTTAATGAAGTTGAAATGTTATAGACACATTATCAATATAAGTTGTCTTCTTATTTTCTATGTTTCATCGAAAACTGTCTGTTATTATTCTGTAGTGTCCACTTTTTAATGAATCTAAGAACCGTTGGTTTGTAAATAAATAAATAAATAATAATTTTAATAACAAAAGCAATTAAAGACAATGCGGTTTTCGGTCGTCTTATCTTTGGAAGCATCTTAAAAGCCGGCGCTAAATACACAGAAAAACTCATTTCTAGAGTTTCCAACTTTCCCCCGAAGTCTCCAAATATTTGCTCACGGGATGGCTGAACGCAGAAAACATGGTTGACGTGAAATAGACGACTATAAGCGTTTGTATCTATCCCCGTCGTGGGCAACCCCATTCCCCGTTCATCCCCAATGTCTCGCATCCTTTCATTCTGTCTCCTTCCGTCCCGTACCCCCTTCCTCTTCAGTCAGTCGAGCTTTCTTCCCGTTTTGCACAAGTTCTGATGCTCAACAACTCAAAGTTGTTTGCGGCTTCTTTTTATACAGACACACACACATACATACATATATACGAAGATAGTACCTACCTCCACCCTACACTTCACAAATTTCCGAAACCTTTCCAAAAAGTTTTCAAGGAAGAAACAATTTGTTCCCAAAATGTCTAGAACTTAACTTAGCCAATCCACACACATAAAAACACAAACCACAAGGAGCAATTTTTTCGAAAAAAGTCTCAAATTCAATAAGTAACGCATCGACATTATTTAATCATCGAAAATTTATCCTTCATGTAGTTATTTACATTTACTAACAGCCCTGGACCGTCGACCCCGATCGACCGGTATAACTAACTCCTTTTGGAGTACGTAGGGATATACAGGGCACCGTTTTTAAGACTTTACTAATTACATACCTGTCATAATCTAATTTGCAAAACAATTTCGAGTCTCTGAAATAGCAAGTTTGATAAAGGCGTTCTCCGCACGCGAAACATTGCAAGCAATGTTCGTGATAAAAAACATCCATGACTTGCAAAATGTATCTGTCGTGTATTGGTCTACAGCACATGCCACAGAGAGGTCCAGTCGCTGAAAGATAAGAAAACGAAATCAATATTGACTTGATAAATCATTTTTTCAGATATTTTTATTTGATCAAAACGGTACAGAATCCAACAATAAATATAATGAATACTGTGTTATTTGTGTAGAAATCTACCAAATATTTAGCTACTGAATTCTGTACTAATGGAACCAAAAATTATTTAATATACTACAAAAAGCAGACATTTTTTGGTATTTATTAAACATTACTAAAAATCAAATAAGAATTGGCTACATTCAAAGAAGTGTTTATAGAAATTAGAAATACATTTACAGATGCAGAATCATTTGAATAAAAATACAACCAGCCTAAAGAGAAAAAGTAATGGATTAATGACATTAATGTGTCCATGACATTTGCTTATGCTTATCTATCAGTTCTGCCACAAAAGTTAATCCATTACTCTTACAGTTGTCTATAATTTTTGTTTAATTTTTAATTTTTTAAATGCAGAGTTCATTGCGGTAGCATTTCATGTAGGCACTTTATGCGTTTAAATAAAGACTTCAGAGGGTTGAAACAAGGCCGCCTCGGACGTCGAAGCCATTTAAGTCTGTGACAAGCCACCTGTGGTAAAAAAGCATCAATCTTCGCTTTAAAATCGTCAGGCAACTGGGGGTGTTAATCCGCACAGTAAATCCATTGTTACCAATTTAACTCTTTTAATCGCAATTTCATGCAACGTCATACTTATTACCGTTTAGCATCAACACAACCCCTTCTTAAATACGCGCTCCCGAGGGTAGAAATATTGTACCTCACAAGTGTTTCATACTCGGGATACAGAATCTTCCCCTACACATTATACAAGTACCACATATAAAAACGAAGATATTTAAGTACAGGGACGAACTTCAATTTTTAACTTTTGCTTCGAACCAGGGTTGAAATTTCACTGCCTAGACCAGGAGTGGTGAAAACTAACGTACTGATCGGGGAAGAAAATCTTCTCTAAGTGCGTAATTTCACGAAATCCAACTAACTCGAAATCTGCAATGGTATGTCCCACCCTTCACCCATGCAAAAAAAAGCTGACTATGTCCCAGATTTGATACATCAACAACAACCCTTTAAATTTACTTGTAACAAACTGTACGTCCAAGAATTATAAGTTACATTGTTTTAAGTATGTACTACGTAACTTTTTTATTCCAATTTATCTCTCTGTTGTAATATAAGGAAATCCGAAAGACATATGTCGTTAAATAATTATCTCTTTAAACTAAAGTATGTAGTATGATTAATAATGTAACACAATAATGTTACTTATCTTATTACCTACAACTTCCACTGAGACACTAAGTCCACCCCTGGGCAGTTGCGCCTATATATTCGCTCACATAAACGCGCGGCACCCTTCAAGAATCTTTAATTCCACCCTGCCAATCAAATTAGAGATAATTTATCTTTCTTCGATATTAAATTATTGACATTATTCGCGTTGCAAAGATAAATTCTTTCAGAGTCCCCTTTTGAAATTTAGTAGTAGTAAAAATGTAAGTACACAAAATAGATGAATAAATATTTGTTTTGTTTAGGTTATTAACTTATTATTAAAACGTACAATAATTAAAGAATTTATTAAAATAATGTCCCAATTTTTTTAATCTTGACCTTAAATCATAAAAATATACAACAATATAAAGATATTATAACTTTTTGTTTTATTTTCAGACACCCTGTATTTATTGAATTTGAGAACCGTTATTATCGGGGCTAAAATTCAACACGAGCTTTAACCTTATTGCATTACAGGAGATTATCAGGATCAACTTGGGTATGATTAATTGATTCATTTATCGCTAAACCCTATTATCCTATCCTAATACTAACATTTAGTTTACCTGTAATTACATGTTTTAAGGAAGAGAGAAAAATAAATTATAAAATAACAAAAAATGCTCATTACTACAAAAAAAAAATGTACCTATAGATACTTGATAATAATTAATATTTGTTAATACTTTCTTGAGCCAAATAAGATTCATGATTTTCATTTTTCTCGCAAACATAATTAGAATTTCCTTACCTAGGTCAAGTAGTCTGACATTTTCATAGAAAACAAAATGTTATGAATTGCTACCGACGTTTATAGCCCACTAGATTTGTCAACACTCGTGTTGTTTCACAGATGTTAAGTGGCAAAAGTCAAACACGTGCTTTACATTCCAAGAAACAACTACCTTTATGTTCAAATTTTTGGGGATGACACATAAATGATTGTTTTCACTTCTAAATATACACCCTCAATAATAAAACAGCCCATACACAAACAAATTGAGATTGATTTTAAAGATTTTCTTAAACTAAAAATCAAATTTTATTGTTATATTATTCACGATCAGAATACCCGCCACGTATTTTGAAAAATAACAAAGTAAGCCTTGAAATTATAATGGCAGCTGGTTACCATTGGCGACGGACAACAAAAGTTAATTCACCGCAACTATTTTATTGCTTTTTAAAAGGGTTGCTTCAACTTTATAACTTAAAACAAAAAAAAACAATAATTAGGGCACATTTAGTATTAAATTGACAATAGTTTATGTTTAGTAGGTAATATAGGTATTGTGTAGATATGCTTTAATTAAGTAATTTGTATCTATTTATCTACATATACACGCAAATTCTAAAGCAAAAAAATCAAAAAGAAATATATTTTCTAGGCAAAATTGGATTTCAAATTGTAAATATTTATTAAAGCAATGATGATAACTATATTTGTGCAACAAACGGTAGTAAATGGCAAATCGTTAATTAATAACAACCACAAATTGTTTATTTTTTAAAAAAGTGCTTTAAAAGTCTAAAATTTTGAAAAATAATCAGCAATTAGATAAACGTACCTACGAATTAAATGTTTTAATTGAAATATGAATTGATATTCTTTTGTAGATTCGCTAGATTAGTAAAGTAATTTTTTTTTTATAAAAAAATTATATTCTTTTCAAAGCAATCGTTTAAATTAAAAAAAAAATAATAAAACAACGATGACAAAAAAAGCGCATGACGGCATGACACTAAACTTGTAACATGGGAAAGCTTACCCATTATATCCACTAAAATATTATGGAACAATTATCAAATTTTAATCGAAAAAGTGTCCTAATCTTCTCTCGTTCACTAATATTCATCTAGCCGCCATTCACAATTATCCGCGGGGTTTCACATGCATGTTGTGCATGGCCCTCTGGTGGCAATGTCTGGCACGCGCCATGTCGATATTACTACGCGAAAAACATAGGCGAACAAAGGCGGGGTTTTCCACCACGCCTATTCCGATAACAGCCAAAGAAGACGTCGTAAGCGTCGCGACGCAGGCTGATATTTATTCCCGATGATCCTAACATGTTACTTCAACGATCTTAGCTAAAACATATACAACATGTACTTAAATAGCAACGATTCATCGGAACTGGGAACGTATATTTTTTTTACAATATTTCCGATTCGCATGTTTATTTATTTATATTACCACGAACGACTAATTTAGAAAAAATACAGCATTTCCAATACTTAAATTAATGTTATATTAATAATAACATTGGTACACACGGGTAACTTCAAGTTTGTAAACAATTGTGAATAATATACTTATGCGATAATTTAATAAGTCAGTAGAATAATTGTGATTAACCTTAAAAATAGTTTCTAGTAATCATTAAACTTTAATGTAAAGTAATTTCTACATTAGCATTCGCAAAAATTTAACTATTTAACAACAATTTTAAGTTTTAAACTATCTACAAATATGTTTATTTTTCCGCAATTTTAAAATTTTTCAAACTAAATAACACCTAGCGTCACCTACCACACAATAGTGAAACAAATACTTGTTGGAGGTTAGCAGAAGTTAGTTGTTGATGTTACCGTGACGAAGCATGACATTTTATTTTCAGTTATAATGATACCTAACCTTAAATAGTGTAAAAAGTCAAAGTTAAAAATATTCAGTAAAATAAAGAGTTAGTGTATTAAATACAATAAAAAAATGTTCAGGAATCAATACGACAGTGATGTTACGGTGTGGAGTCCCCAAGGCAGACTCCACCAAGTGGAATATGCTATGGAAGCTGTAAAACTTGGTTCTGCTACAGTGGGCTTAAAAAATAAAACTCACGCCGTTCTCGTTGCATTAAAAAGAGCCTCTTCAGAACTTGCTGCCCATCAGCAAAAGGTAATCCCTATCGACGAGCATATTGGAATTGCTATTTCTGGTCTAACAGCAGATGCAAGAATACTGAGTCGATATATGAGAACTGAGTGTTTAAATCACAAGTACTCTCATGATTCATATTTGCCAGTAAGCAGGCTCATTTCTCAATTAGGAAACAAGATGCAGGTATATTTTTTGATTCAAAAATATTGAAAAACGTTTTACGTGTCATTGCCCTTTCTATTAGGTATGTACCCAACGTTATGATCGCAGGCCTTTTGGAGTAGGTCTCTTAGTGGCTGGTTATGATGACCAAGGACCCCACATTTATCAAACCTGTCCTTCTGCAAACTATTTTGACTGCAAGGCAATGGCAATTGGAGCCAGATCTCAAAGTGCTCGTACATACTTGGAAAAACACCTAGATCAGTTGTCTTCCAGTTCTCTAGAAGAACTCATAAAACATGGTTTGAGAGCCCTGAGGGACACCCTACCAAACGAAGTGGAGTTGAGCGTTAAAAATGTATCTATTGCATATGTGGGAAAAGGTGTTCCCTTTACAATTGTGAATGAAACCGATACAGGAAAGTATCTGGGAATGATTGAAGGCGAAGAAAGAAGAGGGGGTGGTGGCCCACCTGATAGGCCAGCAGAGCCTTTAAGAGACGATGCGGGGGACCAAGATCAACCACCAGAACCCAGGCCATCAGTAGCTATGGAAACAGAGTAAGGGATTACAAAAAAGATATTGCATTTGAGCTTAACACTCAGAAAACTTTTTGTAATTTTTTCAAAATTATGTTTCTGCCGTGGCTACTGTTGAATTAATTTTAATAACAGTAGTCACGGCAGAATACGAAATTAAATTGTCTACGTATTTTTTAAGGTAACGAAGTTGGGTATGCTTTTCAACGTGTTTAATAAATAATTCATTATTTGTTTCGTTTTTAATTAAATAGTTAAGTTCTCTATACGTGGGCGACAGTAAGGAGTTTTTGAAACCCAATGCGCAACTATTCAAAATTGGTTGATGTAAAATCGTCAATTTATTTAAGCAAAGAACCCGATTCACCCGACAATTCTTTTCCCAAACTTTGGCTATCAATTGACAATAATCATCTAAGTCTTCAACAACGTTGATTTAGATGAAACTGTAAGACCCGTCCAGTCAAAAATTCCATCGTCCACGTATCCTTTCCTTTCGAAAAGTTCCTTAAACATATTCCTCAAATACTCGTAGTCTGGTGCTTCAAAGAATTCCAACCGTCTCACGTACCGCATATAAGTTGCCATTTCTTCCGGATGTCCTTCGCATAGCACCTCGATGGGGGTGGTTCTTTTTGTGTCCCCAATCTTCTGGTATCTCTCTTTAAGCGTATCAGCTTTTAAGCCTTGCCAGGGCAAAGAACCGCGCAGAAAATACATAAACATATGTCCTAGGGCTTCTAAGTCGTCCCTTCTGGACTGTTCTCTTCCCAGGTGGGTGTTGATACTCATATATCTGGCAGTACCCGTTAATGATTTATGTTCCCTATAAGGAATATGTTTGCCTGTTTCAGCATCTATGTATTCCTTCGCTAAACCAAAATCTATTATGTGAACTACCTTGTCCTTTTTTGTTTTTTGTCTTCCAATTAAAAAGTTTTCGGGTTTTATATCGCGAAAAATCAATCGTTTGCTGTGAACGTACTCGATTCGATGTAAAAGTTGGTCAGCTATCATTAAAACCGTTTTTAGTCTGAAATGGCGATTACAAAGGGTGAAAAGATCTTCTAAACTGGGTCCCAACAATTCTATTACCATTGCGTTGTACCTCCCTCCACACGTTCCCAGATAATACACTTTGGGGATACCTTCATGTTGACCCAAAATTTTGTAAAATCTGTACTCTAAATGTAACTGTGGAGCTTTGGATTTGATAGGTTCCAATTTAATAGCGACGTGTTCGTTATTGTGCAGATTTTTCCCCAGACGTAGTTCTCCGAAATTTCCGCTACCAATTTTTTTTCCAATCCGAAATGTTCCTCCCACCATTAGAATTCCTGACGAAGACGAGTGTTTCGAGTGCATGATGAACCCGACTTCTTCGTTACTGTTAGTTTCGTTTTCCTCGCTATGATGTTGCTGATCTTTAAACAGATTATATCCATTCAAAAGGAGACATTTCCAGAAATTCATTTCATAATTTATGTCATTTAGAACCCGTCTACAGAGCGACGGATCATATTTTGATACATAATGAAATACAAACCGAAAATTCTACTTTTTTTGTTCTTTTTGAAAAAGACAAACCCACGTTTAATTTTATAAATGAATAACTTAAAAAATTAAAAATGTCACACCTGACAAGTTATTTATAACCATGTATATTTTTCTATCACATTTTCTCATATGCAAATGAATATACAGTGTTTAACAGTTATCATGTCAGTACAAAGTCGTTAAACTGTTGCCCAGTTTTAACAAAATAAGCTACTAAATTATCAGAATAATACAATATATTCATTCTTTTTCACCCAAAAGTTCACCAGTTTTACTATTATAAACTTTTTCAGCTTCTAAAATGTAACTGTCAGTTAGAGTTGCCACTTGTTGTTCCACAACTTTCAGCTGGTCTTCTGAAGCTGTTTTCTTTTTCTTTAGAGATTTAATTTCCTTATTCTTTACATCCTTTATGGCATCCCTGTATTTTACAAACAAGGATTTGGCATTTTTTGCCAGTGTTTCCCTGTGCTCTCTGGTTACCCTACAATAAAAATAATTAGTTTTACTTAATTATTTTGAACCCTGCATACTTAGGAATAGGGATATAAAGTGTTGTTCCATCCTGCTGAGGGTTCAAATTCATACCAGAGTTTTTCAGAGCTGTTAAGACTGCAGGAATGGCTTGAGGAAAGACATGCATATTCACAACTAATGTTTTGGGATTTTTTCTGATTATTTGAGCCAGCTCTTGCAGAGTGTAATCTTTACCATCAAATGTTACTTTCAGTGAATCAATTGCACCTTAAACATACAGTTTTAATGTGGGAATATAAATTGAATTAAATATTCACCAATACCTGCACTCGAGCGCAATGATAACTGCTTTACAAAATCATTTTTTAAGTCATCAATTGCTTTTTGCATCTGGTTTTTGACACTATCTACATTTACAAATTCTGCTATTTCTGACTCATTAAATTTCACCTGCGTTTTACCTATAAAGGAAATATTTAGTTAAATAAGAATAAAATATCTACGGCGAGTTCCTTACACCTTTGTCCTTCTTTTTATCCTTGCCTTTGGCATATTCCCTGACTATTAATAAATTAACTTTGGGAATTATTAATTTAGGGTTTGAAAATGGGCTTGTACATTCTTGTGACGTCTTACAAGATAATCTTATGCCTTGCTGTGTAAAACGTGCAGCAATTACAACAATTCTATTAATTTTCAGCATTTTAATATATGATAACCTGAAAATTATAATAAGTAAACATAACCTGACAAAATTCTTGACAAGATACAGTTTTTTATGCAACCCATTAAACACCTCTGAATATCAAAAGCTCTTTCGCATTTATTTTTATTTAATTTTGTGAATTTAACAAAATACGTCTTATTTTACTTGAATTTATGATATCTAATCGATTTTAGTGTGCATTTTATTAAAAATAAAGAATTCTACACGATAATAATAAATACGCTAGGAAACTCCAAAAACTTTTTACATTAATAATATCTTTTTATCAATACATTATAGAAGGTCTAACAGTTCGTAAAAAATAATGTGATCATANGCCAAAATAAGACCGTAATAAATGGAAAACAATAAAAGTTTAGAAGTCATGTTTTTTACTTTAAAGAAAGCAAATATAATAATTTAGTAAAAACAATGAGTTATTACATTTGGCCAACATACTGAATCAAGCAAAGAATCCCAAACGGAATAATTGAGTACTAACGAAATACCAAAATTCTGAAAGTTTTAGTATATTGTTTGTAACTGTTTATTCTGAAATAAGAGTGAGATATCTTGAAGGGGAAGCCAGTTTATATCGCTTCACCTGCACAGACTTTCCAATCTAATCCAGTACAAAACTCGCCTTCTTGGCCTATATTTTTTTCATTCAATATTGTATTTGTTTAAGAATCATTTTAATGATTTTAGGCGCATACTTATCTTTTTCTTTAAAAAAATACTTAACTAGGTATGCTTAAGCTTGTTTGATGAGCACTCATTAATTTATATTTATTAATCGTAAGTAATATACTTAATACTCTTGAAGATGGACAGTTGTATTATAAATTCTTGATATTAAACATGACACTAACTTTTATTAAAAATCGTAGTAACAAATATTGTTTCCTGGTTTAAAAATTATAATGAAAACAAAAAGTTTTTGCGTGTCTCTTTTCACCCGCTAATAACGTTGGTAGGAAGGCAGTCTCTCTGCCTACATTGTGGTGCAAAGGAGGATGGTTGATATGATAAAAATAATTACATATATGCTAAGTTCTATTTATTAATTGCCAAATACACAATTCCTAATATTTAATCTGTTTACCAAAGCAGTAGTCGATTTATTTTTAATAACTGTATTCTTAAAACGATTAAATTTTTATTAGATCACATATCAATACATTATAGAAGGTCTAACAGTTCGTAAAAAATAATGTGATCATAAAACAGTAGTAATAATCCAATCTTAAAATGTATCAATCTATTACTCATTTAATTAAGCCAAATATTTATATAAGCATTGAATCGTAATTTTATTTAGAAAAATGAAACATACAAAATTATCCTTCCTGTCCAAAATCTTCTTTGAATTTGTCTAACTTTACCATGTCGTCTTCGTTTACAGTCGGCTTTGATGTTGCTAGAGATCTCAGCATATCGTTCTACGATAAAAATAAATTACTACAAAATACAACAATCATTAATATTTTTAAATATTACCATTGTAACAGGCGGTTCGTATAATTTATCTCCATCAACGTCCATCCAGGACATTTCGACAGCCCCAGGATCACCGGGCGAACAAGGGGTCAACAGGTCATCTCGAATTGTTTTCGGATCCTTGGGACATGGGCCCCTTACTTTCTTAAAATGTGTCGCCGTCTGAACTTTCCTAACAGGCTGCATCAGCGCGTCCCTTACTACTATACTTATATCAGCCCCCGAATAACTGTTACAAAACAGATAAACAAATTTTTTACATTGGTCATGAAACAATAATTCTCTGTGTCAATAAAATTATAAAAATTTCTCTTTCACCATTTTTATAATAAAAATGAATGAATAGAAAAATTAAGCATTTCTTATAATTAGTCCACGTAAAACTAAAGATAAAAAATTAAAGAAAATCGCCAATTTTCAATATGTAGAAATACATAAAAACAAAGGATAATTCAAGTCATGCCACAATAAGTCTTCTTACCCTTCCGTCTTTTTCGCCAGGGTTCGTAGATCTTCTTCTGTTAACGTTGTGGGGGTATTTCCTAAATGCAATTTAAACATAGTTAAGCGGGCGTGTTCTTCAGGTAATGGTATGTAAATTCGCTTTTCAAATCTTCTACGAATAGCTGCATCTAAGACCCATGGGATATTTGTAGCTCCCAGAACTAATATTCCCTCTGTGTCGTTTCCAACCCCTTCAGAAGAGATAAAGTTATAACAAAGTATCAATAAATGCTTATAGTAATTGTATCACCCTGCATTTGAACAAGAAATTCCGTTTTAATCCTTCGGGCTGATTCAGATTCGTTATCAGAACGGGCGGAACAAAGGGAATCGACTTCATCTATGAATATTATACTGGGTTTATGTTGCCTTGCCAGATCAAAAAGGTTTCGTACCAATTTCTCTGACTCTCCAAGCCATTTTGATACCAAATCAGAGGATGACACAGAGAAAAATGTTGAATTATTAGCTTCAGTTGCAACAGCTTTGGCTAAATACGATTTACCAGTACCTGGGGGCTATAAAAAAATATGTAAACCGTCATTAACGATAAGTTAAATTGCAGGGGAAAATAACTTACACCAAAAAGCAAAATGCCTTTCCAAGGTATCCTTTTTCCTGTAAATAAATGTGGAAATTTAATGGGCAGAATGACTGCTTCTTTTAAGGCTTCTTTTGCTGCATCCAAACCTGCAACATCTGACCATTTAACGTGGGGTTTTTCTACGACAATTGCATCTGCAAGTTTAGACTGTAACTTCTTTTTCTCTGGATCATCACTGTCACTATCACTATCACTCTTTTTTTCATCCCTAAATGATCAGAAAGAAAAACAATACTTAGGAATACTACAGTAAAACTAATAGAAGTTTATCTAACATTGTAAAGCATAACAGACAAATAATTAAGTCATTTTAAATTGCATGTTGTAAAAATTTATAATCTCATAAGGCACAGATAAATCTCCACAAAATTACACAATAAATTATAAAACCTCATACTTTGATTCAGTATCGCCCTCTTTAACTGGTTTCTTCTTGCCTTTTTTTATGGATTCTTTAATTTTTTCAGCTCTTTCTAAATACTGACAGCACTTAGCACGAATGCTTTCTTTGGCTTTCTCCCCTTGTGCTTCATCTACAATTATGAAAAAGACATTAATTAACGTGACAATTACTCCAATTTTCAATACATACACTTGATTGCATGTAAGAAATATTCTACACCATGTTCATAAAGTCGAAGTGCTTCTTCATAATTTTTATTACGATCTTCTTCTGTAGCTTTGGTGACTAATTCTATAGCTTTTTGTAAAGTGCTTCCAGTAGCCATTCTTTATTATCACAAATATTACTTACTAAAACTTAGTTAACAAGAAATTAGTAATCATTCATAAATTAGATTTGCTGTAATGACACTTACCTAAAAAAGACAATTTAATTATATATTTGAAACGAAATTTTAATTTGCAGCTAGGATATTATCATAACAGTAAGGTTGAAAAATACTTTTAAAAAAACATTGATAAATATTACAAAAATTATTAATTAATTATCGTTACACCTCTGTTGTATGTGTCACTCTTGTCAATATGGTTGGAATCAAACGAAAGCTTACGAATAATGACGAACATGTCCGAATTTTTCAAAAAANACTCCTACAGGTATAATGGTCTTGTTCACAAGAAAACCATAGGAATAGTTGACACACCTGACAAAAAGGGATTCACAGTTATCTATAAAAAATCGAAATTCCAAGTAAGATTTATTTATATTTTTTCTTTAATAAGCGTGTTTGAATAATGTACATGATGATAATAAATGTCTTGATGCCTTAAATGAAGACAAAACTCATCACCCATCTGTCTGACAACTAATATTGTTTTAATGTTATTCTTACTTTAGAACAAACAGGTATTATATGAAGTTTTATTTTAGCATAAGCCTAGAAAAAGTATTGTGAAAACCACAATGAAGGCAGGTCCTAGAAGGTCTCTTTACAAACTTAAAAGGCTTATTCAAAAGAACAGATACCGCACGGACTTGACCAAGGTATATTATATTTTTTTATTGTAATCTAAAGATTAAGTTTAATAAGTGTTCATAATGATGAATAGTTTTTATTGATAATAGTATAAAGATATATGTGCATGTATTTAGGTTTACTTATAAATGATTGTGTAAATTATATGGATGGAGAAATGTAATTAATTTTTTTTACAGGTTGCCCTTCGCAAGGCTAGTTATATCTTAAGGTCTTTTCCTTATTTCTTCTTTCTGAAGTTCGTCACTATTCATAACTACATTCAGTAAGCATCCACATAGGACTCTTCTCAATTTAACGGTAATATAAATAAAATATATGATGAATAACTTTTTTGTCTTAACAAATGAGCAATTATAATTTTATGCTTATTATTTAATTATAACATGAAATTCAAATAAAAAAAGTACACAGTGGCTTATCACAGATAAAAGTATACTCAAACAGTAACGACGAAAAAAATTAAATTAGAAACATAAATCAAAAATGTCCAGCCCATTTGTTTCTATTATTCATTTAACTTCTACCGTTTCGATTCATACGAGCTCTTCTTCAAGATTTACGATATCTACTTAAAAGAATATTCAAAATCCTGAAGAAGTGCCCATATTGATGTGAAACTACATTTACCACTTTCAATTATTTATTAACCATGACATGCCCAAAAAAGCGTAATTTTTTCTTAAAAACGTTTTTATTGCTTAGATTCGTTTCCTTTATCTTTTTTATCACTTTTTACCATTCAAATTAGTGTCAAAATTATATTCAATAATGAAAAACGTTTTTCTTTGGTATATGGTCCCAAACATCTACTTTTTGAAAAATAATTCTTCTATTGCTTAAGCAATTAGCTTAATTAATACATAATAAGCAAGGTAGTAGCTTGAAAACGTTATAATTCGATAATTCTTTTGTCTACAATGTATTCAACGTCTGTGTAGTCGATTTAAGAATGACTACATTTAAAAACATTTTATTTTGGAATGTTTAAAAAGTTTAATAATTGTATTTTTGTATTCGTTAAATAATTCGAATAACGTAGTTTTTTAAAATGAAAATCTACCAAAATATACAGAGTGGTTAAAGTTTGGAGACTTATTAAATCAAATCAAGTTAAATCTGCTGTAAAGAGATAAGGAGCTGATGTGACTAATAAATTGCTGGAACACCGTGTAGATATCTAAACGTTTTCAATAACATTTATTAGCGCTGTTATCTTCCCAGCACTTGCTTCGGCATTTTTCTGTTCCCGTATTTTTGCAAGAGCTTCATGAACCCCCGAGTCTTTCAGGTGCTGCACCAATTCTCCTGATTTAGTCACTTGTTCCAAGAAGGTTACAACATTTCCTATCGTTTCCTTATCCATTTTTTCCCTGTACTTATTAAGAACGAATGTTAAATGCTTACCAACGTCTGCCTCCTTGAGGGCCTGACACAGTTTTTCTTCGCCCTTTTCCCTATTAAAATCGTCTTCGTTTCTGTTAATATTCTTGTTGGTACTGCTATTGCATTCATACTCTTCTTCCTTGTCTTTTGTAAAGTAAACAAAACAAATCAAGTTGAGGGCATAAAGAGCTTCGTTTTGCATCACCGCAAAATTGGAAGATATCATTTCCACCACACTTCTGATGCAGTCTTTGGTTTCAAGGATGAGAGGGAAAGGTTTTGATGAGTGGCAATGTTTTATGAGCCACGCTAGGAGGCGGGTCGCTTCTCCCCTAACTCCTATATGGTCAGAATTAAAACAGTATTCAACCAATTTCTTGATGAATTCAGGACGGGTTGCAAGATTGAGAGCTGCTTCCTCTGAAAGAAATATTTCTTAAACTGTACATTTTTGGAAAATGTATTTTTTCTCACCTTGACCATCAATAACCATCCTAATTGTTCCCAGTAATTTAAAAATAACAGTTTCATGATTAACTTGAAGCAGTGGATACAATATTTCAATTAAACCGTCGTTTAATATTTGGGCTTTGTTTTGTGCTGGAATTACCAAGTTCCTTAACGTACTTAGAAGAGCATGTTTTAACTTTATATCACCATTGGTGCAATTGTTTTCAGATAATACCTCTAAGGAATTTAAAAATTATATAAACCAGCATGTGGTGTAACATTTAGCATACCCAACAGCTTTTTGGCTGTTTTATTTTGAGTCATTTGAATGCAATGGCTATCGTTTCGTGCAAAATTTCCAATTGCTAATATTCCTGTACTTTTGAGATCAATGTCATCAGAATCCAACCAGAGAAGCATGTTCTGGTACAATTTCCCGTTACCTTTGTCATACAGGTATTCCATGGATTCATCTAATAATATACAATAAATTAATTAAGTTTGTGTCAACAATAAATTTTTCTTACCCCCAGTTAGAATAAGAACAATTAAGTCACAGGCAGATTTCAGTAGCAATCGACTATCTTCATCATCAATTTGACTCTTATATTGTTCTATTAATTGAAAGACAAGCTCACAAATTCCTTGCTTTGCAAGAAATAACTTGACATCATCTAAAATAAAAAGTATAAATATTCTATCCTTTGTGATTTCACCTTACTTACTATTGGCCAGCTGTCCTTGTATGATGTCTAAACAAATACTAGAAATTGCGAAGTTTAGGGATACTTTTAGGATACCAACAAGTATTTTTAATAAATTGTCCGACAATGTTGTATTCTCATCCAAATGTTCTGCTAAGATATTAATAATAGATAACAAATAATAAAAGGCATCTTCAAACTCTTCAAAGTCTTCAAACTGTTGCTCACATATGTTTTCTATTATTCTCAAAAGATTTTTCCTTATTTCTTCTTTCTGAAGTTCGTCACTATTCATAACTACATTCAGTAAGCATCCACATAGGACTCTTCTCAATTTAACGTTATTGGAACTCGATTTCAGGACAGATATTATTTCGTTAAGTCCATCTGTTCCTAGTAACGATTGTGCTTTTTGGTTTTCAAAAGTTATATTTGCTATAGCACGACATGTTTGAACCGTTAGTTCTTCGTCTTCATCGTGAAATAATTTGACCAATAGCGAAAGTACTTTTTCATTTGTAAATAATTCACGGTTAATATCTGTCTTCGCAAGTTCTGCTATTGCTTGGGCAGTAAACGTCCTAGTTTTCAAGTTTTCAGAACAAATTAGTTTTTCGATTGGCTCCGTATTTATACATTTTGATTCTCTGCTAGTTACTAGTGATGATAAAATACTGTTTACTTCGGCTTCATTCTGAGAACTCGTCTCATTGTTTAAATTATTTAAATTAATATTCATTTTCAATTGAATTTTATTTTTGAATGCATTTTCAAGTTTTATTATTGATTTTTTAAAAATTTGACTGATGCATAACCTCAAAAAGTATTATTAAGAGGGGAAAGGGAAAGCGTAACCTAAAAATAATGACATAATATTTATTTACATACATTTAAAGTCGTAATTATTAAATAATAAACTCTTATAAAAACCATTATGTCTGCCTTAAAAGTAATTCAGTCAGTTTTTTACACTGGAGTGGCCCTTTTAAGTGTATTTCATACATTTTATACTGTGGTAGATTTAATGGCATTTTTATCATTCCCCAATTACAATTTATATTTGCTAAGAAAAGGTATGTATAATTTAAAACATCATATATAGTTATAATTTCATTATATCAACTTCTAGAAGTTAATGGAATATCTGTTACATGGAATTTGATAATTGATATGTGCCTATTAACTGCATTTATCTTTCAACATTCTTTGATGACATTATCAAGTATTAAAGACTTCATAAGCAAAATAAAACTATCTGTTTTGCAGAGGAGCATTTACGTTATCAGTTCTTCATTATGTTTAAAAGTAAGTACTTCAATGCATTTATAAAATGGCAATAAACTTTTTTCTTGAAACTTATTTGTTTAGTTTTTAATAAGTAATTGGCATTCAACACCGGCTGTTACTCTCTGGGCATTTAACACAAACAGAAATGTTATATGGTGGTCATTTTTAGTACCTCATATAATTGCCTGGACTATAATTTATGTTGGAATAATATGTATGGATGTAAATGAACTCCTTGGATTAAAGCAGGTACTAATAGTATATGTATATAAAAAGGCAACTATTAATGCATATATGAAGTTGTTGAGAACTAAAACTTGTTTTAGGTTTATTATTACATAAAAAATTTACCAGACCCATTGACTTTTAAATCTCTTGAATTAAAGCGACTTTACTCACATGTACGACATCCTAGCTTTATTGGATTTTTGATATTGTTATGGGTAACACCAATTATGAGGTAATTTGATATTTTTGAAAATGTTTACACTCCTTTATATTCCAATTTTTTTTTCAAAGCCTGGATAGACTTTTACTTGCCACCATACTCAGTTCTTACATGTATTTGGCTTGGAACACAAATCAAATCGATTACCGTTATCAGGAAACACAATATGTAACAAAGTTTCATGAACTCAATAGGGTAAAATGATAAAAGACAAAAGGTGCTAGCAATTCATACTTATGGAATAATTGAGTACTAACGAAATACCAAAATTCTGAAAGTTTTAGTATATTGTTTGTAACTGTTTATTCTGAAATAAGAGTGAGATATCTTGAAGGGGAAGCCAGTTTATATCGCTTCACCTGCACAGACTTTCCAATCTAATCCAGTACAAAACTCGCCTTCTTGGCCTATATTTTTTTCATTCAATATTGTATTTGTTTAAGAATCATTTTAATGATTTTAGGCGCATACTTATCTTTTTCTTTAAAAAAATACTTAACTAGGTATGCTTAAGCTTGTTTGATGAGCACTCATTAATTTATATTTATTAATCGTAAGTAATATACTTAATACTCTTGAAGATGGACAGTTGTATTATAAATTCTTGATATTAAACATGACACTAACTTTTATTAAAAATCGTAGTAACAAATATTGTTTCCTGGTTTAAAAATTATAATGAAAACAAAAAGTTTTTGCGTGTCTCTTTTCACCCGCTAATAACGTTGGTAGGAAGGCAGTCTCTCTGCCTACATTGTGGTGCAAAGGAGGATGGTTGATATGATAAAAATAATTACATATATGCTAAGTTCTATTTATTAATTGCCAAATACACAATTCCTAATATTTAATCTGTTTACCAAAGCAGTAGTCGATTTATTTTTAATAACTGTATTCTTAAAACGATTAAATTTTTATTAGATCACAAAATATTGGACAATAATTACTTACAAAAATTTAAGAACACTTTCATTGTTCTTTTTTTAGTATTATAAATGTTTACACGAAACGAATTTCTCTAATTAAACCTTTTTTTGCATTCTCACACAATGGAGAATAGTCTGTTTATAAAAAAAAAACAAGAAAAAAAGCGAGCAATTTATAATCTACATACTTCACAGTTAAACTATTAATTTGAGGATATTCGTAATCTAACTACGGTAAAGTAGTTAATTAATATGATTCCCCTTCTTCGTATTCTTCATATTGACGATTGTTACTGCCATTTTGAGCATCTTCAGGGTGGTATTTTTCTTCGTCTTCGTCCTCGTATTTAACTCGAGACTGATCATACTCAGCAGTATTATATTGGGCGTAGTCAGGATAATCTACAAAATTAAAAATTCATTATATAATTAATCTAAAACTGCTACACCCTTTAATATATTAATATAAACGTTTTCTTTTCAGAGAAAATTTCTTGTTTAATTAACATCGTTTTTAATAATTTTCTTTAACACTTTTAAAAAAATGCTTATAGAAAAAGCAAAAGAAAATGTTCGAGGTCTATACTACCATGTAATCAAGACTAACGGATTACAGGCCCTTTGACCTCTTCTTTTTATTATCATAATGTAGCAACGGAACGATTGTGTACAAATTTATATTATACAGATACATAACTAAATGTTTTGGATGAATGATGATGATGAGAAATGGGAATGGAATAAATATGACAATATAATCGCAACGTTGCAAAAAAATATAATGCAAAGGGTTTAATTAACTTCTGTTTCAACTTACCATCAATGGGTTCTTCTTTAATTCTGATTTCACCCCCGTCGTCCGTTTTGATATATTCCAGTCGTTCACCACCCCTTTCCCTTCTTTCACGGTCTTTCCTTTCTCTTTTCCTTTCCTTGTCCCTGTCCTTTTCTCTAGACTTGGAGCGGCGTCGTTTACGATCTCTTTCGCGATCCCTAAACAAAATAATTTTCAATTTTTCTAATTTATTAATATTTTTTCGTTATTTACCTGTCCCTTTCTCGTCTGTCGACCACGACCTCTTCGACCTCATCTCTGGATACTCTTTCCCTGCTCCTTCTGCGTTTCCTGTCTCTTGAGCGGCTTCGGCTTCTTCGCCTACGTTCCCGGGGGGACCGGGATCGACGTCTTTCCGCTCCCCCAAAACGATCCCTCTCGCGACCTCTGTCCCTCTCCTCACGTTCCCGTTCCAATCTATATCGTTCTCGCTCTCTTTCGTTATCTTCTCTCCCAGAATGTTTAATATTTACGTCCGGTCCACCTCGTCTTGTACCACCGAGACCACCCCCTAAAATAATATTACAAAATATTTATATACCAGAAAACACTAGTGATTCATTATAAATGTTTCTTAGTTTTGCAATCTCGATTATTGTGGGATAATCGAGAAGAATTTTACAAAGATTTGCTCTACCTGAGTTTACATACACACAGCTTTATAAATAAAAAGCAAACTGCATGTGAACATCCCAGGAACGTAAATTAAACTACATAAAAACATAATTTATTTTCTAAGGAGGTTTAGGGTTAGTTAACTTACCCAATCTTCTCGGTAGCCACCCTTTAACAGTACGAGCCCTTTCAACGTCCACCAAAACTCGACGACCATCAATTTTCTTACCGTCTGCATGTTTATAAGCAGCTGTAAGAAATATTTAAAAGTCTTCTAAGTGGAAAAGTCCATTAGGAAAATCTGCCCAATACGTTGGCCAAAATAAGACCGTAATAAATGGAAAACAATAAAAGTTTAGAAGTCATGTTTTTTACTTTAAAGAAAGCAAATATAATAATTTAGTAAAAACAATGAGTTATTACATTTGGCCAACATACTGAATCAAGCAAAGAATCCCAAACTTTTGCAATAGCCTTTTTCAAAAGGTTGAGATAGAACAACAAATATTGATTCTTTACATCAGAACTTCAAAATAAATCGATTTTGGAAACATAAATCACTTTTACGCTGACTTCCTATTTTTTAGACGAGCTATGCGACATTAAAGAAATTAACTTCAGAAATTCCGATTTTTTATATTCTGATATAAAGAGAGAAAGTAAATCTGTGTGAGAAAAGACCAAAATTGAACCTATTTATCCATCGCCGCCCTCCTTAAACTGCAGATTTTTATTTTTATATTGTACATATAGAATTACTGCTTATTTTATTGATACTGTATATATTCTTTTCGAACAAATCTTACCAATATAATTTGTAAGAACAAAACCTAAAAAACTGAATTAGGTATATAAATGAAATATACCTACCCGGGTTTTTACTTACGCAATTTAATGTCACAACGAAAAAGAAGTAAAGCACTAAGTGCCGACAGCAGCCGCTCCACTTTTTTGAAAGGTTTACCTGGTGCGCAAAAACTACTTACTATATGCGCATACCTCAAATTTAATTTTAGAGAGCACAGGGAAATAAGCATATTATTATAAAATTGGCCTTTGCGATTACCATAGTCGTATTTTTGGGATATGATTGTTCTACTGCTAATTAAATTGCTTAAAAAGTAAAAGATCCTAAAAAAATACTTTATTCTTATAACTATGATAATTTTCTAATGAAACTATTAAAATTTAGAAACTTCAAACATTTCTTAACATTCTTATACAGTAAATATTGTTTCAAACATTCTGTAATAGTAAATCATAATGAAATAAATTTTTGTGATTCTTATCCATGTGCAATTTTTACTGTCGGATTTCACTAACATACATGTACATGTAGATGGTTTCAAAAAATTACAGGAAATGGAATTATTGATGATATAATTATGAAACATCTATTTAAAAAATACACTAACTGCCGAACCAATGCTATTGAGAGAAACTTTTTGAAGAGTAGTATACTGATTGCTCATTTAAAAGTAATTATTCTTTTGTTTATTTTGTTTCAATGAAAACTAATTAATTTCGTATCTAAAATATTCAGGATTCAAGATATTAATATTTTAACAATATCCTGAAAATACGACTATAATAAATGCAAAGTATGCCTATCTCCCTATATCCTTCATGAATGGAATCCCTTTTCTAATTTGCAAAAATAAATAAAGAAAAACGATAAAATCTTGGGAAATTTGTAAAAATGACTAATGAAAGAACCGTCAAATTTTTATAATAAGAAAGATCATGGACATAAGGTAATCTTTACATACATTAACTTTTGAGAATAGAATATTAGAAAAGTGGTAATTTTAATTTGAAAAAACCCCGACAGACTCGTTTAATTTTGTATGCAGGGTCTTACCACACATACAAACCTATATAGCCAGCAAAAAGCAGAGGAACGGGGCATATGGCACTAACTAGATGCCTGCTGCTCGGACTGTGTAAAAATAGAAAATACTGTATTAATTTTCTCACTTACTAAATTAAATATTTCGTTTCATTGCTGGCTACATAACATTCTGAAAAAGCCAATCTTTTGCTTTAAATATAATTTCTTCAACAATATTCTGTTTAAAATACCTAATCTTTACGTTTATACTTACCTGACAAAAAAAGAAACATAAAGATTAGAATTTGTAAGTGTTTAAATTTAAAGGCAAAAGATGAGCTTAATGACAAAGGTTTCTTGGATGATATTCAAGTCAATATCACTGGTACTCACAGTGCATGTCCCTTTCATGTTCATACTCTATAAATGCATACCCACGGGGTTTACCATTTATTGTATTGTGGATTAGCACAATCTGAAAAGTTAAAAACTGATGTATTTAGCCATTACCATTAAAAAATTAAAGAAAAACAACTTCATAAGTAAATTTGGTTTTATGATGGCATACTTTAAAATAATTCAATTGCTCACCTTTTTAATAGGTCCATAAACCTCAAATTCCCTGCGTAACTTAGATTCTGAAGTATCATAATTCTAAAATACAACAAAAATAAAATAAACAACAATCATGCCACCTCAAAGACAATATACATACAATTCTAGCTACAAATAGTGTTTTAAACGGATCTGCAGTAATGTTTGCTTGAGAGTTTGGATCCCAAACAGCAATTTCTTGTTCTAATTTATATGCAACTTGCTCTGCTCTTTCTCGCCTTCTTCTTTCAAGTCTCTCTTCTCTAGTTTCAACTCTCTTTGGTGGAGGAGTTTCTTTTGGGTCCTAATATGTATATATATATTACATATTACTATTCTTACTTTATCATTAACATTTTTACCTCAAACTCTGTCAAAAATTGTCCAAGTCCTGCATATCCTCTGTTTTTCTTTTCATGGGGTAATTTTGCAGCAGGTGGAAGATAAGGGATGGGATCGCGTGGTGCGAATAACGCTAATAAATTGGGTGGCAAGAACTGAGTCATAATAACGCACTATAATTACGAACTATTAATTGAAAAACATAGTTACCTAATTATACTTAATAATAATAAATTAATTATTGAAATATTTTAACATTAAATACTTTTCTATTAAACGATTACGATGTGCAATGAATGATCACAAAATGGCTTAGCTTGTCAATAAGATCAATTCAACAATTCAGAGATCACATCATTTCAAATATATTTATATTTAAGTAATTGAAGTTAAGCGTTAGCTTAATTGTGTTTAACTATGTTAATTTGAATTATTTTTAAAAATCATTTGGTCTTAAATTGATGTAACTTAATAATTAATGAAAACATATTCAAATTCAGTACTACATTAAATTTGTCGAACATTTCTCAATTTTGTTTCTGAATTTGTAGTTAGCGCTAGTGTACCGGAATTGTGATCTCTTTCCGATTTTTCAGCCATCTTTGAATGTGAAGGTGGAGTTAGCGTGGTGAGTTATTCAGAGTATTTTAATTTTAAAGTATTGTAACTACAATTTATATTAGAAATCGCTTAATTTTATTAAATTTTTGAACAGAAGTGTTAACATGACAATCCCTTTCTATTTCATTTGTTTTTTCCCATTAAGCAAATTTAACCTATATAAATTTCCACATGCTTTTAATGTTGCAGTTAATTTTAGAAAGTAATCAATGTGTTTTGTAGATTAAAAATGTCGTCACATTTAGTCTGGAGCATTATTCGAAATAATAATGCCTTTCTACTCAAGAAACGAAACATCAACAAACCTTTCAGTACTGTAAGTACGTATGATTTCTAGCAGTTTCATTTTTCATAGCTACTTAGTTAAGTTAATGATGACTTTTCACCAAGATCGCTGAAAATAGTGATGCATGATTTGCACTGAGTGTTCATTTCATTATTTTGCAATAAATCAGGAAATTGTCCTAGGAACTAACGCTCTTAATTTGTAGGAGACAAGCAATTTGACAAACTTGAACTCCTACAGGTATAATGGTCTTGTTCACAAGAAAACCATAGGAATAGTTGACACACCTGACAAAAAGGGATTCACAGTTATCTATAAAAAATCGAAATTCCAAGTAAGATTTATTTATATTTTTTCTTTAATAAGCGTGTTTGAATAATGTACATGATGATAATAAATGTCTTGATGCCTTAAATGAAGACAAAACTCATCACCCATCTGTCTGACAACTAATATTGTTTTAATGTTATTCTTACTTTAGAACAAACAGGTATTATATGAAGTTTTATTTTAGCATAAGCCTAGAAAAAGTATTGTGAAAACCACAATGAAGGCAGGTCCTAGAAGGTCTCTTTACAAACTTAAAAGGCTTATTCAAAAGAACAGATACCGCACGGACTTGACCAAGGTATATTATATTTTTTTATTGTAATCTAAAGATTAAGTTTAATAAGTGTTCATAATGATGAATAGTTTTTATTGATAATAGTATAAAGATATATGTGCATGTATTTAGGTTTACTTATAAATGATTGTGTAAATTATATGGATGGAGAAAATGTAATTAATTTTTTTTACAGGTTGCCCTTCGCAAGGCTAGTGCTATCTTAAGGTCTCAAAAACCTTTGCCAGCCAAAAAACCAAAAGCAAAGAAAGAATCGTAAATTTTTGTATTTAAGAATAAAGAAATATAACTTTGATTGTTTTTTTATTGCCTTTTAACACAAGTGGGTAGTTGTTTTTATGTTATTGATTTTTCAGTAGCATATGTACAATTATAGTCATTTTCCATTGCTGAAGGGTGTTTTATATGTGTAACAATTTTTATATTTATTGGTAGATGTGGTCTTCCATTTAAAACGTTATTTATTATTAATAGTTGCAGATTACTTGTTAAAACTTAATTATCTAATATATAAAAGGGATTGTAAAAAATAATCGTAGTAGTTACCGCTGCAGTTGTTTCTCAAAACATTGCTTTCTTTAGGTGGAAGGTAAATGTATGTTAATGTAGTGGTGAACTATTAAAATATTTTTTTTTTGAAACTGCTCTACTTAATACAGAATTATTATTTTTTTTAAGGTGAAACTGAATGACTTTCCATTTTGTTTTCTCTAACATTGACATCAAAAGTGCTGAACTATTCTAGTTTTACGACGTTCTTGGTAATTACATGCTTTCGATAATATAAAGTATGAAAAACAGAGTCTAAACGTCCACTTTATAATAAACATTTAACATCTGCATAATGGTGTTACTTAAAGTAAAATAATATCTGTCTTCATTAAAACAAAGTGTATTTCATTCCTTATTATTACATTGGCGATCACAGAAGTGGACGGGTGTGTAAAAAATTAAAGCTTAAATTACATTCTAAAATTATACATTAACTTTTCTAGAGATCTGACAAATCGGGAGATTCTATGTTGGAAATATTTTCAAGAGGTGCTCTACAGTACGGACAGTAGCCTTTCAACAAAACTTGCAGTTCAAAATCTTCTGCGTGAAATGCCTGAAGAAATATTGATATGTAAGTCATTTCCCTGAATAATAATATTATTACTTACTTTAAAACAAGAGTAACACATTGTTATTTGTACATCGGGCATTAAGTTTTTAAAATATTGATAACGAAGAGGTGGTTTCCATTTACAAATTAATATATTGGCACTGTCCAAAGACAAGAGCGTTTTTCTGTTGGCAATAACAGGGAAAAACTGCGCATCGCCACTCTGAAACAAAATATTTAATTTATTCAAGTTGTTCTATTTCATCCATGTAGAATAACTCATTCACAAACCTCTAAGTTAATAAATCTTGAAGTAAAAGGATCTTCATCCTCATTTTCCACTTCTAGAGTTAACACATCTTGTTTTCCTTTATAGTTGTTGCTACTGATAGGCTTTTCAATAGGAGTTTTCTCTATTAATCGGACTGCTTCCGCATCCGATATGCCCTCTTCCAATTCAAATTCAATTAGGGGTAGAATTTCTAAGAATAAAAATTACACTCTTTTATAAGTTTACTGCAAATAATTTAATTAAACACTCACCAAAACTTACGAAAGAATACACGAATTTTTGTCTACAATTATTACACTTTATGCTAGCTGGGTACAAAGGGTTGTACGTAGAACAGCGATAACACATGGGTAATAACTCTTCAGGATCATTATAAGGTTTAGCTCTGCATGACACCGTGGCTATATCGACCTGCTCTTGAAATTTAGGGGGCACTTTTATACTTTGCAATTTATCAAAGAGTTGTTTAGCCAACTTGTTCGCCCCCAACGTTCTTGCTTGCTTTGCAAGGGTGTAGTAAATTCCACTTAAAAAATATTCAGGAAAATGCAATGGTAAAATTTTATTGTTAATTAAACCCTTCTAAACTTAATTAATAAAAAGGATACAACATAGATACTCCTTGAGGGCGTTGTTGGGCTATTAGGAACCTAGAAATGTTAAATAAAGCTTCTGGCAAGTACGAAGTGAATGGTTCTTCCAAATATTTGTGTATGACATCATAAGCATAATAAGTGGTAGCTAAGGTTTCGTTTTCGTGAAATCTCTTTAACATTGCGGTGCGTATTTCTTCTCTGAAATTAGGATTTATTTAGTACATACATAGGTACACTAATGTAAGAATACAGAACATAAATATATTGTAGCATTAGAGGAATTTAAATTTAAACTTTAATGTTATGAAAAATAAGGCTAAAGTTGTAGAATTATATAGCAATACAAATCTTAGTTAATACAGAATAACTTCATATAATTATTGTTAAGCAATAATCTCTTAAAAGATTTGATGGCTGCAGTTTTAAAGTTCTCCCCTACTTGTCTAACGCTTTGTCAATGGGTGGATGATCACCGAAGGTATAGAACTTTAAAACCATCACCAACTAGTCCGAAAAATCATAACTTAGCGGTTGACACCGGCCGTGGAAGCCTTTGCAGTTATCGATAGAACATACTTTTCTAATGCTAAATCCAGACACTGTCTGGCTAATATCCAATAATAATAGCCCGCATCTTGGTATCGGCATTCATCGACAGCATTTTCAGTTAATTGCTGAAGAACGGTAAATGCTTCATCTGGACGTCCAGCCTTGTAAAATGCTGTCATAAAAATAATTAATAGATAAGGGAACTCTTTTTTTGTAAAGAAATTATATTTTACCCCTTTGTGCTTGAACAAATTGGTCGTTTTCAGCAAGCCAGTGGGCATATGGAATGTATACCAAGTCCTTGTATTGGGACTGACTATGTACAAGCGCAAAGGCCTGCTTCCATTCTCGCGCCTCTACGTAAAGTTGTAAAACTGATTTAGAATCGCCTAAGCGACGGTATATTTCAACTGCGGCCCCCGAATTGCCAAATCGTTTCAAATGCTCTGCTATCGTTGTCAGAGAAGCCTTTTCTTGTTTATCCAACAGCCTTGCCAAATCAATTAATCTAAATAATAAAAAATGTTATTTATTAAAAAACTTCAATTAAAGACTTACTGGTCTATCCATTCTTGTTCTGCCATTATTTCTATGGCGGTTTCTGTGTCCCCAATAGACAGATACATTTCTATTGCTGCCTTATGTTCATTAATACTTCGACACCAATCAGCCTTTTGGCGTACTAACGCGGTATTATCAGAAGATCCCAAATATTGCTTAAATTATAACGTTAATTAGCTTAAATTATGTGAATATATAATGTATATTTACCTGAGCTTCTTCAAACATTCTGAGATCTGTATACATAGCAAGTGCTCTGTGCTCCTGCCCCGCTTTCTGGTATAATTTAGCAGCCTCTTTAAACCTACCCCTTTGGGCATATATGTCTCCCACGAAAACTTCCCGATTGTTTTCTCCTTTTCGCTGTCTTTCCTAAAAATAAAATTCCCTAATTTTTTTTTGCAATATATACTTATTCAAAAATCCGATAAAATTTATTAACCTGAATGTCCTGAATTAACTCTAAATATTTATAGTTTTGAAGCTTTGTAAATGCCAATTTAGCAACTTCAAGGTCCATGTCTTCAATAGCGGTAAAAGCCAACTCGTTCCAATCACCGTCAGTGACCCCTTTAAAAATATCTGTCTTATTTAGTAAATACTTTTTTTGTTTTCATCTGTTTACCCAAACAGGCTATTTCATATGCTTGTCTGTACATTCTTCTCTCCATGTATTGATACATGGGGGTGCTGAGAGACAGTTCTTGGGTACTTATATTCGATCCACTCAGACAAAATACTTTAGAGCCGCTCATTCCCACCACAAAACCATTAAGTTTTTGCCGCGACGCCGGGAAATCTCCTACTTTTATCCCTAACGAGTTTTCCCCACTAAACGCTAACATATCGTTATAATGTGTATTCCAGGCAACGCTATTCACATTAAGTTCCTTAACAACACATTGAATATTATTTTTAAATAAGTAATACGTTGCATGAACTCTTAGTTCAAAGATTAATAAGTTTCCCATCGAATTATAAGGTTTTCTATAAGAATAACAAAGGATCACAATTATTATTCCATTCGATTATCTCTACCATTGCTGAATTTGATCTTGAGAAAATTTCAACAAAATTATTCTAAAGGTAAACTTTATAAACTATTTTTTAAGATAGATGCTTTGGACATCAAAAATTAAGCAAATTTGCAATTAACTATTTGCATTACTCTTATGGAAACCCTTAAAATTCCCCTAATGAATAATGAGGACTTACTTGATATAATAAATTACCAGAACTCAATTCGAAAACCTGGCAAAGTCCAGTCTCGTCTACAACAGATATCTTGTCCTTACTTTCAGTCATATCTAAACATCTTACCGCAGCGTGCACACTTAAAATTAACAAAGGAAAAGAATTGTCCAAATAAATTTTCCAAATCTGAAACATGAAAATGAAATTTGAAGTTAAAAGAAATGACAATAAGTACTTGTCCATTTTTAAGTCCCGCGATGAGTCCCTCTTTTGAAGGGGGCCCACCTACAACTTTAATGTAACGAATTGTACTATCGAATTCCCACTCTTTATCCTTAACTCCTGTTAAGGACATACTTTGCAATTTCTTATCCTTGCACACTACTAAGTGTTCAGAACAAATTACAAGTAAACTACAGTCCAACTTTTGCGTAATTTTCTCTTTTACTCGATAATGTAAACCGTTGACATCCGCCGAAAATAATTCGTAAATAACAACTCGCTCTGATAACTGAACCTTTGAATAAAAAAAAGATAGAAAAGGATATTATTGCCACTTAAATTACTTTTAATTACCGCTAATCTATTTTTATATATCGCGATTTTCTTAATGAGATCTCTACATTTTATTTTGACCTTTTTCTCTGTTAACAAGTGTTGTATTATTACATCGGTCATACTTTCTCTAAATGCATATCGTTCTTTAAATAGCCCATGAACAGTATTAAACACAAGCTGGTAGTAAATCAGAGTACCATCTTGACAACCCATTACCTCAAAACAAACAATTTTAATTTACTTGAAATTGTTTCTATTTCCTTTCTGTACTTACAATATAATCTCCTGATGGATGTGAGGCATTACACCAAACCCAAGAATTTTGTTGGTCTCCTATCATTCCAAGCTTAATCCCATCTTTTGTATATAAATTGCAACACTTATTAGTACCACATATAAGTATATATTGTCCTGATGAAAAGTAATTAACTTTGAGTGCATCAAACCCAATGTTTCTTTCTTTTCCAATTATCTTTCCCCCCAAAGTATAAAAGGTGAGAGTTTTATTCCAGTCAGTAACACACAAAGTATCTGAAGGATCTTCTTTGTTTGGATTCCATGACAAAGCCCAAATGGGTGCACCATCAGGTCTTTCTATGTGACATTTTTCTTCTCCAGCCTTAATGAATATAATCATTGATATATATTAGCAACATTCAAAGTAATTTTTAATTTACCTTATTTCTAATTGATACAATTCCTGCACCCATACCTAAGGCTAAATATTGCCCATCGTTTGTCCATGAACACGAATTTATCCTAGCAGATACCTTATGTTTTTGAACTGTCTTCTGCTCAAGTGTCCAGATAGCAAAGTCTGACAAAGAGCATGAAGCTAATTGATGGGATAGGGGATTGTAAGCTACACATTGTATGGCATCACTGTGATTATACTTAAGAATAGCTTCTAACTTGTCAGACCATATAATAACACTTTTATCAGCACCTCCACTTGCAAATCTTTGACCATTTTTAGCATAAGAAACACAATACACTAATTCTTTATGTCCTTTCAAAGCCTGGATAAGTGATCCATCGGTAGTATCGTATACTAAAACTCTTGTACCACTAGCAACTATTAACTGAATTCCTTTAGGATCAAAACATAAATCATAAATGCTAAAAAAGGGTGTAATGCTATAATTTTAAACATATTACTTTAGTTTTCGATTTTTACCATTGTTCAGTCTTTTCACTGTCTTGTACTTTATAAAACCATTTAGGAATTGTCCTCATGACTTCAATTTCATTTGTATTTTAATATATTTTAAAAATATGTTGGTTATAAAAGTTTAAAATGACGTTTAAATAAGTTAGGTTAGGAAAATTGTATACAACTATCCCTTATTTTCCGTTACCTTACCAACCGTTAGTTTTATGTGGACGTGGCTAAAGAAACGAGAAACCTTTAATTATTATGCTTATTTTTTTCATTAAATTTGTAACTTGTAAACTAGAAACTCGCATTTTTAATTAATTACTTAAATGGTAATTAATATTTCCAAATGAATTCAAGTGTCTGTTTAGATGAAGAATTACAAGAAATAAAAGTTGAAGAAAGCAAAGTATCAATAAGGGTGCAAGAGGAATTAAATTATGCTGATTTTGAAGAATATGAAACAAATAATGATTTCAGGAAAACACAAAACCATATAAAAGAGGAATTTAAACATTTATCAATTAAAGAATCAAGTGAATGTCTAGCTAATAGTATATATGAGAAGAAAAAAAGAAGTAAAACTGCATCAAAATTACATTATTTATGTGATATTTGTGGAAAGCTGCTAAAGAAGGAATATTTAAGGTGGCACCTTAGACTTCATAGTGAGAGAAAACCATTTGTTTGTCATTTTTGTCCAAAAGGTTTTGTAAAAAGATGTAGATTGAACAGTCACCTTCGTATCCATATGACTGATAAGATACATGTATGTGAAATTTGTCAAAAAGAGTTTATTGAGAAACGGAGTTTAGAGACCCACATGTACCTTCATTCAGAGAAAAGACCATTTTTATGTGAAATATGTAGAAAGGGATTTACTCGGAAGCAGCATCTAACTGTCCACTTACTAGTTCACACAGGGGAAAGACCCCACACTTGTCCTGTTTGTCGAATACAGTTTACAAGGAGTCATATTTTGAATTCCCATCTAAGGCAACACACAGGAGAAAAACCTTTTGTTTGTAACATTTGTGAAAAAGCTTTTGCCAAAAAGTATACATTAACAATCCATTATAGAACACATTCTGGAGAAAAACCGTTTTCTTGTCTCATATGCAAGAGAGGGTACAGCAGAAAAGTTTCTTTAAAAGAACATGTAAAGAAGCTTCATAAACAAGAGACTGATAACATTGCCATAAAAAGAAAATGTGAGATAAATTGGTAGATGGCAACTAATTTGTTTTTTATAAGTTTTTCACGTCAATTTTTAAAATATTGTCGTTATCAAGTTTAAAATGAGCTAATGCTCGTTCTTGACGTACGTAATTAGGCCTACTATCAGAATTTCGTAATGGCTAAATTTTTGAAAAATCATATTAAGGTACATCATAAACAAGAGGCTGATAACTTTGTCATAAATAAGTGAATATGTAACGCAAACTTAAATATTTATTAATAGGATAACTTGTGGATTACATAACTTTTTAAAATACTGTTATAGAGCTTTTAAATAAGTTAGACTAGGATAATTGTAAATAAATAGTCCCCCGTTGATTATTTTGTTTTATTACACAAAAACCGTTAATTTGTTTATGTACGGCTCGAGAAACGTTCATTCTTTTGCCTTTTAAGGTTTAAGAGGGATTTTATTGCAACATATAAGAGTTAATACATGTATTGCAAGTAAAATCATTAATTAGTGTACGTTAATTATTAATGTATTAATTATTAAATATTAAACATTCTAGGTTATGTGGTTGGGGGCGTCCGTTAATTACAGGTGTCATAATTTGTAACCCCCCTCCTTCTTGGCGAAGTTCATGGAAACTTTTCTGGATCTCTCCTCCCCCCTTTTAATCTCATGTAAGAAGTAGTCGTCTCCTTTTAATAAAATATTATGTGTTTATTTATTTTAGATAATGTTACAAATGATGGAAGCGTAATTATGAGATGTTTTTGTTTTTTAAATTTAGACCCTTTAGGGTATCTTACTAAAAATAATAAATTGTCATTGATGAAATAGTTCTAGTTGTGCCACTGAAAATCTATTGTCATATCTATTATCTATGGTTTTAGGGGTTTGTTTACGGTTGTAGAATAAAAACTTGAGGAACTGCAATAATTATAAGTGAAAATTGAAATAAAAACAAATTATTCTTCCCAAATGGATTCAAATGATTGCTCAGGTCAAGAATTACAAGAAATAAAAATCGAAGATGGTATAGAATTAGTACAGGTGAAAGAGGAATTAACTTCCACTGACAATGAAGAATATGAGACAAGTAATTATTTGGAAGAACCTGAAAAACAAATAAAAGAGGAATTTGAACATTTACCAATTAAAGAATCAGGCGAATGTGTAGCTAATAGTACAAATTCAAAGAAAAAAAAAAGTAAAGCTAAATTACATTTTGTATGTGATATTTGTGGTAAAAAATTTACCAGAAGACCTAATTTGTTGATCCACAAAAGAATTCACACAGGAGAAAAGCCATATGCATGTAGTGTTTGTCAAAAAATGTTTGCAAGAAAAGAACATTTAGAGCATCATAAGAGGGTTCATACTGGAGAAAAACCTTATCCATGTAAGACTTGTGGGAAGTTATTTAAAAGAAAGTACCATTTGGATACTCATTTTAGAATTCACACTGGAGAAAGGCCTTATGTATGCACTATTTGTACTAGGGGCTTTACCCAGAAGCAAGGTTTAACTCACCATTTATTAATTCACACTGGTGAAAAGAACTTTTCCTGTGAAATTTGCAAAAAGGACTTCACCTTAAGAAATCACTTGACGTTGCATCTTCAAACTCATTCTAAAGAAAAACCATTTTCTTGTAACATATGTGGTAAGGGATTTATTAGGAGAGAAAGACTGAAGGAACATCTATTAGGTCATGGTGATGATAAGCCATTTTCTTGTGACATATGCGAAAAAAAGTTCTTAAAGAAAGAATATTTACAACTGCATCTTAGACTTCATGGTGAAAAAAAACCATTTGTTTGTAATGTTTGCCAAAAAGCATTTGTTAGAAGAAGTATATTGAATAATCACCTTCGTATCCATTTGATTGATAAGAAATTTGTATGTGAGATTTGCCAAAAAGAATTTATTCACAAACAGAATTTAGATTCCCATATGCACCTTCACTCTGAAAAAAGGCCATTTTCATGTGAAGTGTGTGGAAAGGGCTTTACTCGAAAGCATAATTTCGCTGCCCACTTACTCATTCACACAGGGGAAAGACCCCACACTTGTCCAGTTTGTCGAAAGCAATTTACAAGGAGTCACATTTTAAATTTCCATTTAAGAAAACATACAGGAGAAAGACCTTTTGTTTGTGACATTTGTAAAAAATCTTTTGCCCTAAAACAAACATTAACAAGTCATTATAGGACACATTCTGGAGATAAACCTTTTTCTTGTCATGTATGCAAGAAAGGATACAGCAAAAAAGATTATTTAGAAAATCATGTAAAAAAAGTTCATAAAGAAGAGACTGATAATATTGTCATAAAAACAGAATGTAACACAGATTAAATAGTTCTTAAGGGATTTTTTTATGGATTGCAAAGCTATTTACTGAACCTAATGCTGAACTTAATAAAATTAGTAATTTTAGCGTTAAATTGAAATTAGTGCAATATGACAAAATATGCTGTGAAGGAGCATACTTTCTATACAGTAGAAAGAAAAGTATACCAGTAATTGCACAACAAAGTTTCCAATCAAGTTAGCTGATGAATACTGTAAGCATTACTTTTTTATAAGGGGAATTATTGAGACAATGATATAAAATAAGAATAGCAAGAAAACTTGCAACAAGTGTTGAAAGTCAACATTGAGAACATTATTTATGTGGTAGTTTCCTAAGGTGTAGTGGAAAAGCTTATAGGATGTTGAAAGTAAATTGTGTGAAGAAATGTTAAGTTTCTCAGAAAGCACTGTAAAATTGGATTTGGGTTGCTGCTACAATCCATTCAATAAGTGTTCTTGTTTAAGTGTGTTGGCAGTTGACATAGCTCCTACTAATTCTGATGTATAATAATGGTGTGTTTTCTAGAATTATATATAATAATTAAGAAACTCAGTTTAGCTTAACATTGTATAAAGGAACCACAACACTGTAGTATGTTTAAAGTATTTTTAAACTCGCTTTTACATAGAGGCTGTCCATAAATTAAGTAACGCTAATTAGGGAGAAGGGGGAGTTTAGTTAGACATAATGTCATGTAATGTTGTGGCATGGATGGGGTCAATGTTTGCGTTATATAATGACTTTAGAATTAAAATTGAGTGGAGTATATTATATTGGACATTTAAAAACTTTCTAATTAAAGCCTGAAACTTATAATGCACGCATTAAAGGGGTATCAAGCCACGCGTAAAGGCCTTGGCGAGTGGTGGGGATGCTCAAAAATTCATCAATTTTTCATTACATAATTTATGAATAGCCTCTTATATAAATAGATTTTTGCAGCAACAAATAAGTCAAACAATAGTTAAATAAAAATTATATATATTTATAAAAGGCTAATTGGTAAATGCGTTTAAACATTTTAGGTTATGTTCTTAGTTCTAATATTTTGTTTATTAAGAAGTTAACTGGAGTCTGTTAATTAACTGCATTAATAAATGGTAATTCAAATAAGAAGAAATTATTTGTCCCAAATGGATTCTAACGGCTGTTTAGATAAAGAATTACAAGAAATAAAAATCGAAGATAACAAAGAATTAGTAAGGGTGAAAGAGGAATTAACTTTTATTGATAGTGAAGAATATGAGGCAAATAATTACTTGGGGGTAACACAAAACTATATAAAAGAGGAATTCGAATATTTACCATTTGAGCATTTACCTATTAAAGAATCAAATAAGTGTGTTGCTAACAGCACAGGTGAAAAGAAAAAGAATGAAACTACATCGAAATTAGATTTAGTGTGTGATATTTGTGGTAAGAAATTTACCAGAAAGCCTAATTTATTAATTCACAAAAGACTTCACACTGGAGAAAAGCCATACTCATGCACTGATTGTCAAAAAATGTTTGCAAGAAAAGAACATTTAGCTCTTCATAGGAGAGTTCATACTGGAGAGAAACCATATTCATGTAAAGCTTGTGGGAAATTATTTAAAAGAAGGGACACTTTGGACACCCATTTTAAAATTCACACTGGAGAAAAGCCATACTCATGCAGTGATTGCCAAAAAATGTTTGCACGAAAAGAACATTTAGATGATCATAGGAGAGTTCATACTGGAGAGAAGCCCTATCCATGTAAGACTTGTGGGAAATTGTTTAAAAGAAAGTACCATTTGGACATCCATTTGAGAATTCACACAGGAGAAAAGCCATATTCATGCAGTGATTGTCAAAAAGTGTTTGCAAGGAAGGAACATTTAGATCATCATAGGAGAGACCATACTGGAGAAAAACCCTATTCTTGTAAGATTTGTGGGAAATTATTTAAAAGGAAGGACACTTTGGACACTCATTTTAGAATTCACACTGGTGAGAGACCTTATATGTGTAATATTTGTCATAGGGGCTTTCCCCAGAGACAAGGTTTAACTAGCCATTCATTGATTCACACTGGTGAAAAGAACATTTCGGCAGAAAAGCAGTTCTCTTGTCATGTTTGCCAGAAAGGATATAGTAAAAAAGATTTGTTGGAAAATCATATAAAGAAACTTCATAAGCAAGAGGTTGATAACATTGTTATGAAAACAGAAAGTAACAACGATTAAAAAATACTTTTTGGAATAATTTATGTATTACAATGAATTAGTTGCTACATTAATTCTCATAATATTTTCGTTTATAAAACGTTCAAATAATTTAGTTGCGGAAAATTGTTTACTGTACCACCCCTCATCTTACATTATTCTAGCATTGCCCTAATAATGATTTAAACTTTTTAGGTTATGTTCTAAGTTCTAGTGTGTTGTTTACGTTTTTATATCATTGTACAGTGCAATAATAAATGATAATATTAGAAGAAATTGTGTTTCCCAAATGAATTCCAATGACTATTTAGATCAAGACTTAAAAGAAATAAAAATCGAAGAAAAAGAATTAGTGAGTGTGAAAGAGGAGATTATTTCTACTGGTATTGAAGAGTATGAAACAAATAATTACTTGGAGGAAACAGAAAACCATATAAAGGAGGAATTTGAACATTTACCAGTTAATGAATCAGGTGAAAGTCTAGTTAACAGTACAAGTGAAAACAAAAAAAAACGTAAAACCACATCGAAGTTACATTATTTATGTGATATTTGTGGTAAGAAATTTACCAGAAAGCCTAATTTATTGATTCACAAAAGAATTCACACGGGAGAAAAGCCATACTCATGCACTGATTGTCAAAAATTGTTTGCAAGAAAAGAACATTTAGCACTTCATAGGAGAGTTCATACTGGAGAAAAACCTTATCCATGTACAGCATGTGGGAAATTATTTAAGAGAAAGTACCATTTGGATACCCATGTTAGAATTCATACTGGGGAAAGACCTTATGTATGTACTATTTGTAACAGGGGATTTACTCAAAAACAAGGTTTAACTCATCACTTGTTGATTCACACTGGTGAAAAGAACTTTTCCTGTGAAATTTGCAAAAAAGACTTTACCTTAAGAAATGACTTGACACTGCATCTTCGAACTCATTCTAAAGAAAAACCATTTTCTTGTAACATTTGTGGTAAGGGGTTTATTAGGAAAGAAAGATTAAAGGAGCACCTGTTAACCCATGGTGATGATAAGCCATTTTCTTGTGACATATGCGAAAAAAAGTTCTTAAAGAAAGAATATTTACAATTGCATCTTAGACTTCATGGTGAGACAAAACCATTTGTTTGTCAATTTTGCCAGAAAGCATTTGTTAGAAGAAGTATATTGAATAATCACCTTCGTATCCATTTGATGGATAAGAAATTTGTATGTGAAATTTGCCAAAAAGAATTTATTCACAAACAGAATTTAGAATCTCACATGTACCTTCATTCCGAAAAAAAACCATTTTCTTGCGAAGTGTGTGGAAAAGGATTTACTCGTAAGCATCATTTCGCTGCCCACTTACTCATTCACACAGGGGAAAGACCCCACACTTGTCCAGTTTGTCGAATGCAGTTTACAAGGAGACACATTTTAAACTCTCATCTAAGAAAACACACAGGAGAAAGACCTTTTGTTTGTGAAATTTGTAAAAAATCTTTTGCCCTAAAGCAAACATTAACAAGCCATTACAGGACTCATTCTGGAGAAAAACCGTTTTCTTGTCATGTATGCCAGAAAGGATACAGCAAAAAAGAATATTTAGAAAATCATATAAAAAAAGTTCATAAATAACAGGCTGATAACATTATTGTAAAGACAGAATGTAACATAATAGATTTAAAAATTTCTTAATTGGTTGTAATCAGTAATTAGTTTTTAAGTTTTTAGCGTCAATTTAAAATTAGCGCGACATGACATGATAATTTCGTTGCTAAGGGTTGGTATTAATATTGGTTACTAAACTAACAACTTCAAATTAACCATAAATTAACATAACCTATAATGTTGATGATGGTGATATGTCCATTTTTCTTTGATGATTTGTTTGATTTATTCAGATTATAATCAGACTGAAATGAAAAGAAAAACTAAGCCTGCAAGCAATGACCATTTGAAATTATCCCAAATTATAAAGGACGTCCACAAAAACTTACGTGAAGATGCAAAACGTCTTGGAACACAAAAAGCTTGGATTAATCATTGTAAACAGGAGGAAAGCCTTTTAAGATATGCTCAAGCCATGAAAGAACTTGCAACAAGACACTGGGAAAAAAATTATAATAATAACTGTAAAGCAAAATCACGAATCAAATGGATTTATGAATATTGTAGACTATACTTTTTTGATGGGGAGCTACTGAGACAAAGACGTCGTGAAATAGAAATAGCAAGAAAAATTGTAGCAAATGAGAGTTGTGAACGTTATTTACTTGGTAGTTTCATAGATAGTAGTGAAGAGAACTTATTTGATGTCAAAAGTGAATTAGAAGAAAAAATGTACTCGGAAAGCAATGCAAAATGCTTAAAATTATTGGATGTTGGCAGTTGCTACAATCCATTTAATGAATTTCCATGTTTGGATGTGTTGGCAGTTGATATAGCTCCTGCCAGTTCAGATGTAAAGTGGTGTGATTTTTTGGAAGTAAATATAATAAATAAGAAACCTGATTTATCACAACATCCTATAAAGGAACTGCAGGACTGCAGTTTTCATATAGTTGTTTTCAGTTTGCTTTTGGAATACCTGCCAAGTCCAGAACAAAGATTAAACTGTTGCTTAAATGCATATAAAGTTCTACAACATGAAGGAATTTTGTTGATCATTACCCCAGATTCAAAACATGTTGGTTCAAATGCAAAAATAATGTTAACTTGGAGATTCATACTATCAGAAATAGGGTTTTCAAGGATAAAATATGAAAAACTCCCTTATTTACATTGTATGGCTTTCAGAAAAAGTATTAACATTAATATAGCAAAAAGGTGGGCTCAGCTGCAAGACAACGAAAAGTTTTATAAAAACATGTATATTCCTCAAGATTTGAACAATAAAGAAATGAAAAAATTGTAGGGGTGTGATTAATCTTATTTAAATTAAGCGCCATCTAAGTTTATAATGCAGTAGAAGAAAAAGAAGAATCGACATGTAAATATAACCTATTTCTTTTTTACCAATGCCAAGTTAATGGTATACATGTAATATAAAAATAATTATGTACAGAATTACTAGGATCTTTAAAAACAACTCTAACTGCAGTTGTTATTCGTTGGTAAGGTCAACTTCAACCAAAAGTAAGAACATCCCAGTAGTAAGACAGACTCTTCGTGAAAAAGTTGCTTCTGAACACAAGGTAGCCCCTTTTGGATGGTTTCTTTTGGTAATTCCTGTTTCAACATTTGCATTGGGCACGTGGCAAGTTCAGAGAAAGAAATGGAAAGAAGATGTTCTTGCTAAATTAAGATCTTTAACAAAAGAAGACCCAATACCTCTGCCCGAAGAGTGAGTGTTTGTGTTTGCATTAAAGAGTAACATAAACATAAAGAACATCAATGGTGTATTTTAGTTTAAATGAAGTAGCAAAACTTGAATATCGTCCAGTGCATGTTAAAGGAAAATTTTTACATGATAAGGAACTGTATGTTGGGCCCAGATCCTTTATTAAGGATGGTGAGGCATCAACAGAGGGTTCAGTGTTTTCTGAAGGAAACGTGCATTCGGGTTACAACGTGATTACCCCATTAAAATTATCTGACAGGGAGTAAGTAAAAAATATGTTTAGAATATGCAGAATTAATAGTTACTTTATTTCCTTTTTTGTCAAAGTGAGATAATATTAGTAAATAGGGGCTGGGTACCAAACAAATTTAAAAATCCTTCATCTCGTCCTAAAGGTCAAGTTGAGGAGGAAGTGGATGTTATAGGTATAGTACGTTTCCATGAAAATAGACCCCCCTTTGTAACTAATAACATGCCTCAAACTAATAACTGGTTTTATAGGTAAAAATCAACACTAGTTAGTAGTAATTATTTTCCTAATTGTAGTTTTTTCAGGGATTTGAATGCAATGTGTGAGAAAACTGGAGCAGCACCAATATTTTTAGATGCGACCACTGATTTCAATATTAGTGGAGGTCCCATTGGAGGACAGACAAGAATTTCTTTGAGAAATGAACATTTGTCATATATAATCACTTGGTACAGTTTGTGTGCCCTAACAAGTTATCTTTGGTATAAAAGAATATATTTAGGTGAAATACCTGCAAACAGATTTCTTTGGAATCGGCCAAAATAAATCCTTAACTGAATTTGGATCCTGAAATCTTTTTCTTAGGTATTTCTTTTGTAAATACTCGTTTTTAAAAGCAATTTATCCAATAAAATTTACCTATTAAAATACGTTTCTTTTTAAATATAAGTCAGGATTAATTATAATTTTTATTACAGCTTTTGCTTTTTTAAGAAACTTTTTTATGCAACTGAACATTCATTTATATTTTTAGGGTTCCATATCAAAAATTAATTGGTCATGTTCTTTTTTATTTAATGTGGATTGGCAGTCTTTCTTCTGCTCTATCATTTTTTAACGTTTTGCATGGTTTTAATACTTCTTTAATTGAATTTTCGATTAAAGGAGAATAAAATACATCCAATTTTTTTCAGGATTTATTTTAATACAATTTGTACCACAATGTCGCACATTAATTTATGCTTAAATATGAAGGCATTTATTCTTGATATAATATTTGCATCTGTTAAAATTTCGGAAATATGTACTCTTTGGTTAGCTCACACACACATTTGAAATAATAATTAACAATATTATTTCTACACTGTTGCAAAAATTAAGAATAAAACAAATATATATATATAATACATTTAAAAATAATAATTACCGTGAAACATATATATATCATCGTCATAAAATGCGTTTAAATACAACAAATTTTTCCTATCCTTATACCTATATTGTAATGAAAAAATTCCCTCTAATATTGGCACTAACTATCTCTTTAATTTTTTCGGAACAAAATGCATAATTAGGTTCCCAAAAAAGACCTACCGTGGTTTATAAATACTTTAATATAAGATTTATAATTACTACACTCTTAAAATTCTCGATATTTACAACTTAAATAAAAATTACATATTTAAGAAATGAAAGAAATACTATTTAGATAATTCTTTGTTAATTTCTTCAGTTATGTTTCGAATTGCTTTTTTTTTCCTAAAGAAAACTAATTTATCAAAACTATAACAAGAAAAATATTTAAGTCTTAAACAAAAGCTGCAGTCTTCTTGTTAACGTTTTTTTTTATAAGCTACTGCGTAAAGTTAATGGAAGGATGGATTAGTTTTTTTTTTAATATGATAAACAATACTGTTCAGTAATTATTTTGCAATTGGCACAAAAAATTTTTAAAAAAATAAACGAGATCCAATGTTTAAGTGGAGAGTAGTTAAAATAGCTATATACTATTGGAGAAAGAAATTATTATTATTTAAATCAAAATTATGTATATAAATACTGTATATCATTAGTCAGATCTTTCTTGTTTTTTGATTATTATAATTTACAAATCACATTCCAGTCAATATGGAGGAGCTGCCTTTAAAAGTATAGGTTTTACATTTTCGTTACACCACTGAAATTTGCTTTATCACAAAAAATATATCCAACAAGAAAAATGTTCTATTTTACTTGTAAACAGTTGAACAATAAAATATGTTCTTACTTGCACACCAATACCAAGTTTTGGTCTAATCCCTTGGAAGTAAACGAGTTCTTGCACAAAAAAAAACAAGAGGCTTACAACCACAAGGGCAAATCACCCATATTGACTATTATGATCATTTAATTTGTATATTACAAACCTCCTATTAGCTAATAATTCAAGTTTCTTTGAAACAAATCTAAGAACCGATATACATTGGCAGTTTATAAACTTTATCAATAAATTTAATATTAACAAACCACATTTATAAGCAATCATTTCCATTTTGTAAATAACATTTAACAATTTCATAAGACTTTTATCGTTTAAATGTACATTTTTGTACATCAATTTGTACCTATCTACTGCAAATTTGTATGTGTCCAGACAAACAAAATTATAAATAATAGAAAGTGCTATATTATAAAAAGTCGCGTTGGTCAATTAGCTGTTGTCTTCATCGTTGAAATAATCGTCTTTTTGAAAAATAAAAACAATTATTTGTTCTTTTTTTTACCGCCAGTGTTGTTGCTACTGCTGCTGCTGCTGCCATTAGAATTTGAGTTGATTGAACCATTTTGAGCGTGAGGTACATTACCGTTTGCCATCCTACACCATTAATTAAATTTTTGTACCATTTTTAATAGTCAAAATCAAACAATGTCTTACCTGTGTTCAATTCGAGGTACCGCGGCCCTTTGATCGTCCATACGTCCCGATTGAAATCTCATTATAAGCGAAAAAAAGTCTTCATCTGGAACAGTAGCCCCGCTCTTTTTCGACGACGTCGGAGGAGGTTCTTCAGACTCCACGTCGACAGCTGGAGCAGGAAGGGGCGACCGCTGATCCTCTAAACGCGAACCTTGACACCGAACGAGTTGGTCAAGAAAAGAGTCGTCGGGAACATTGTTACGATTAACTTCAACAGCCAATCTTTGGAGGGAATTTGTTTGCAGTCCTGAAAAATATTTTGAGTTTAATCAATTTTACAGTTTCCCAAAAATGGGACTGTGTAACAGATAGGGTATGCGCAATCCAGTTCCACAAGTTTATGTTTTTAGCCACATAAACTAATCTAAGCTAGCTTAATTTAAACCCGGTGTAATCGTTTAAAATTAGTTTTTAAGTACCTGGTAGATGGGGCAATGCAACCCTCTGTTCATCCATTCGTTTACTTTGCATGCCAACAATCATGTCTAAAAGGTCGTCCGGTCCGTCTCCTGACCTCGTTGTAGTTGAAGACGGTATGTTAACCATATTAGTGTTCTCTTTGTTGTCAATGTTAAGAGAACACCTCTGGTCATCCATGCGTTTTGACTGAAAACGGGATAGCAAATCGAAAAACGAATCATCTTCGACATTTCTAGACGATCCAAGGGGAGCTATGGAGACTGTGGGAGGTGATTGAACCGTCAGTGCACCCCGCGGGGGTTGCTTACCGTCCGGCGTCATCTATAAAAGTGATTAGGTTATTTTCAAAACGTCTTGGAAGCATTTATAAATAAAAGCATATGTAACATGCACTAAAACTGCTACAAGTTTGTGTGTGAGTAGTTTCATTCCCGCTTTAATTTTTTAAAACCAAAACCAATATTATGACATTGAACATATAAACACCTTAGAAACTATATACAAAACAACAAACAAGCACGATATTTAAGACGCTTTAACAAACTACCTGTTGTTCATCTTGCTAAACAAAACTCCGCCTCAAAAATATAAAATAAAATAAAAAGATCCAAACCATCCACGTCAGCCACTACCTTAATAAGACTGAGCTGTTCCATGCTTTCGCGTCTCACCCTGTGCATACGCTGTCCCGACGACGCATCTTCAACCCCGTTCTGTTGTCTGAGACCACTAGTCGAATCTGTTCCTTCACTATTAGATTTTAACTCATTAATCCCATCACCCGAGTCGGGAGTTGATGGTAAGTCCATCACTTTGCGTAAATCTGCTATATTCAACTTAGCAGTAGACTCACCTACTGTGTCGCCCAACTAAGAAATACAATACAGAAATAATTTATAATTTAACGATGGCATTTTTTAAGTTTAGAAATTAATTTTCATTATTTTTACCTCTCTGCTAATTTCGAAATGTTTGGTAGCAAAATAAAGGGCCTTCTCGTGGTTCGATAGGGCAGCGTAGGCGTTCCCGAGGGACCAACAGGCTCGTCCTTCGCCTACCTGGTCTGAAAGGTGTTGGGCAATGAGAAGGTGTCTTAGATGGTATTCGACAGCAGTCTCGTAGTCTCGTAATAGGGTATAAGTATTTCCCAGGCTGTAACAGGCCTGTGCTTCTACTGCACGGTCCCCAAGTTCCTGTGCTAAAGCTAAAGTTCGTCTGTAAAATTCTATGATCAGTTTTTTTGCTCCTTTTTGAAAGACTTTTCTTACTTATAATGATGAGCAGCTTCTTCAAACTGTCCAAGAAAGATATGAGAATTTCCGAGATTACTGTGAGCCCTTCTTTCAGCAGCCTTATCTCCAAACTGTCTTGCTATGGAAAGACGTTCTTCGTGGTACCTTATCGCTTGCCCGAAGTCTCCCAAAAGGTAGTGAGTATTCCCTAGATTTCCACAAGCTCTTCCTTGTGCCGCTATGTCCCCTATTTCGCGCATCAACTCCAAATTTTCCCTACAAAGGATTTTTGATTGTACAAGTTCTACTTTTGTACAGAGAACAAATACGACTAAATCTTCTAAAAAATATAACTGTTACCATTACAAAAGTAAACAGAGTTAGGTATATCTAATAAAAATAGTATTACCGACGAATGTTTGTTAATTAAAACAAATATCATAAACATATTGCAAACAAGTATCTGATGTTATTTTATTGTTTACTTAAATGTGTGAATAGTTTTCTTCTTTTGAAATCCTTACTCATAATAAGCAACAGCTTGTTGCAAACATTCCTTCACTTCATCAGAAAATTCTCCTGGATCTTTTTGCCCAACCCTCCCAATATGCTTCCCCTTTGCGTGATAAACATTTCCCAAATTGTAAAGAGCCCTGCCTTCACTTTGTCTATCTTGCAACTCTCTTGACAGCTCCAAATGTCTTTTGCAGCAGTCCACAGCATCATCAAATCTTCCCATTACTTTGAGGGTATTCCCAAGGTTGCCCGATGACTTTGCTTCTCCTAATTTGTCCCCCATTGTCCTATAAAAAAAAGACTAACTCTTTATTTTTCAGTTCCTTTTAGTTTTGTTTATTAATACCTTGCAAGTGTTAGATCATGTTTATGGTACTGCATGGCTTTAACATAATCACCCAAATAGAAATAAGCATTTCCCAATTGACTGTAAATGGCGCTTAGGGTTCGTAAGTCATCAGTACCTGCTTGAATAGCTGCTTGAAAAAATGCCACCCCTGCCCTGCAATCGCCTGCTTTGCATAATCTTTCACCCTCCAAAGCCAATTCAAGACACATATTGCTCGAACCGTCATAATGCTATAAAATTTTTTGAAATCAACAAAAACAACATGAATTAATTAGATTGTGGTAATACTGACCTGCTCTTCAGCAGTTAAATTTTCAGCACTAGCGCTAATCGACATTTTCACTACTTTACACTAAGAAATTCCGTTGAATTAGGTTATAAATGATTTATGAAAATTTATGCTCCATAATTGATAAAATTACTTTTTAAGCGTCATTTTCTTTTCGTTTCGTTAATCTTTGCCCCTAAAGGTTACCTAAATTTGGCACTAACTACAGGCACTAATTATGCCGAAGTTACTTCTGGAATTTAAATTAGAAGGGTTGTGTCTAAATTATCAAAACATTATGTTCACACTACCATTAATTAGCAATAAATATTTGTCTAAAAACTCTTCTTAATGTGCACATTCTTTAGCGAATAGTAATACGAAAAACAACTATAATTAATCATCTAATTTTGTATATATCTAACACTTCTTAGGAAAATAAATGATTCAATAACTAATGTGAACCATGAGCATCATTGGGTAACTAATTATTTCTTTTATTAATATAGCCAATTAATTTTATTTCCGAAAAGGGAAGAAATAAGCTTTAAGTTGAATGTTCTTTTTAATTAAATTGTTTACGTACGTTGCTCTGTGGTCTTTTACAAAATAAAAGCAAAACAATGGTGTACTTAAAGTTTTAAAACAATGATAATACGTTTGTTTTATTGGTCCGGATGTAAAACAGACAATATGTAGCAGTATAATAATTTTAAATGTTTCTTTTATATCGGTTAATCCTAAGTTAAATACGATTCTATACAGCCGACTAAAATAAAAATTGGTGTTAGTGTCAAAAAGAAATTATCGAAAATTTCGTAAGATTATTGTGCGTATATGTAGTGATGTTAAATATGATTATGCGTACTCTAGTTTTAAAATTTCTTTTATTAATTTTTAATGTTGCCTGTACATTTTTATTGTGATCGACTGTACATTTACTTAACAATTGCGTGGGCGTTTACAAACAAAAGAACTGTTGTAGATCTATTATCTATGGTTGTAGATGATCTATTTTTAAGTTTATTAATGCATACTCTTGAAGTGCTAGCGTTGGCGAACTATTTTTTTATCGGGAGATTAATTTATGGTTCATTTAAACCAAAATTTNAAATTAGAATTGTAAATTTGTACATGAAACGGTGGTAGGTATGGGTATATTTTTTTTTTGCCTGTACATTTTTATTGTGATCGACTGTACATTTACTTAACAATTGCGTGGGCGTTTACAAACAAAAGAACTGTTGTAGATCTATTATCTATGGTTGTAGATGATCTATTTTTAAGTTTATTAATGCATACTCTTGAAGTGCTAGCGTTGGCGAACTATTTTTTTATCGGGAGATTAATTTATGGTTCATTTAAACCAAAATTTAATGTTGTCTAGGTCAAGAAATACAAAACTTTTAGTACAGAGAGTAACAGACAAAGACAAGTAACAGAGTAAAAGCAATGCTACAAACAATGCTGGTTCGTTGGCTCCAGCCCTGATTAGTCATCAAATTGTAATAACAGCATCATACGTTAACGTTTGCATATTTCATCTTAATTCAGCGCATATTCTTTATTTCCAGTTCCAGTTCATTTGCTATGTTGATACGACACTGATATTTGGTGAAACTTTAAAGCTGGTAACATTGACTCGTCAAAACATTATCAGAAGTTGTTTACTTGTCTAATCAGATTCGTATTTTATTTGTGTGTGAATGAGTAATAAACTCATAATCAAACATCGTTACTGTAAAGTGCCAAGTTTTGCATAGATAACGAAGTTGTAGGAAAAGTATGCAGTTTTGTTCAAGTGTTTAATTGAACGCAACAAGTTGTAAAAACGTAAAAACGAAATAGGAAAGTTTTGTGCAGTTCTTTCTGATTGTTGCAGTTTGTTGACATTTGAAAAGAAAATAAAAAATGCTGACAAAGGATTTCGTCGTTAACATACTTCACGTAAGAAATAATTTAAAAATTCGATAATGTGACCTAGAAACATTGCGATAATAATTCGTGCTGCATATTCATGTATTAATAAGTAAACAAAGGCTTTGCTTGCAACATATGTACTAAGTATGAACGCACCCATTCCTGCACCCCGAAACTTGTCTCAAAATGATATTAAAAAACCTGTCCCAACTCCAAGAAAGACAATTCCTATTAGAAAAGTGGAAGTTGAGCAACAATCTTTGAGAAATGAAAATTTTAATATTAATGAAGATGACAAACAGTCAATTAAAGAGGAACCAACACCGACAAGTACTTTCTCTAGACGAGTACGAAAATTTAGTAATACATCGAAACAAATTAAAGATGAATTGACTGAGAAAGTTAATGAAAAGAAAAAAATGGTAATTGAGGGTACCCGACAAAGTATGAAAAGAATTACAAGACGCTTTACAACATCAGGTTGTGAAAATTCAAATGCTGTTGAGAATGTACCACAAGAGGAAGAAAGGAAATCTGAGCCGGTAGGTGATATTTTTAACAAAATATCTTTTAAATCTCCCATAAAGTTAATAGAAAATGATTATGCTAATTCTGAAGTTGATAGATTAAGCAATCACAGTTCTGAAAGCTTAGAAAGTTTGCCACCCCCTATGTACCCTCCACCTCCTCTTAGAGAAGATGCTATTTATGATAAGCCACAATCACTTCCTTCTTCAAGTGGAAATAGTATAAGCAACAGTTCTGGCAGTGCACCAATTTGTCATACTAATTCAAATTTGTATGAAAGTGTTTTCCCTTCTTATCCCAATAACAGTGATTCTGAAAGCTGTACAGATACAGTTGCTGGCACCATTGACAAAAAGCTTGAACTTTCCAGATCAGATTCGTGGTATTATTATGATTCAGTTTCAAAAAATGAAAACATTTATTCTAATGTTGATGCTACACCTCCTTTAATTGCTGAAAAAGTTGAACCTGAAAGCACATTGACAAATAACGTCATAAGTTATGAGAATTATGAGATAAACAGAACCAAGTCACCTAATATAGTCAGTGAATTAAAAGCTTCACCTCAAGATAGCCCAAAAATTAACGAATGTAGAAAGCAACATCCTAATTTAAACAGTAGCAATTCCCCGTCACCTTCAGAATTTAGTAATCCGTTTATGGCTTCAGATTTGCCTCACAACAATTTGAACAGCCCTAGTATTACAATGAACAAAGAGGCCAATGCTTTAGATGAGACTTTAAGTGAAGCACTATCAGGTGTTTCTGTACGTAACTCGTTATACGAAAATTGTGCCATAACGCCTCCCCCAAGGTTAAAAAAAGGCATTAAGCAGCCTACCAAAAGCTTAATAATGCAATTTGATCCCCTAAGTAACATAGAAAAATTAGACCATAACATCACTGACTTGAATGCCCTGGAAGAACTTCTGCAAGGGGACTTGTGCAATAATTCGAGTGTTATTACTGCCGATAACTGGAGCGCCTCCAATGAATCGGAAGTAGAGGAGTACATGAGTCCTCCAACTCCACCGATTAGATTCGATTCTTTGCCCGAAGAAACGATGAGCTCTTCATGGGAACCCCCGACAGCTAATCAGACACCTCCACTTGATAAATCAAAAACGAGTTGGTTTTTAGAAGAGCCTGCACCAGAAACACCAAAGAAAAGACCCAGCTGGTTCAAGCAAGTCAGCGTTCGAATGAAGGTACCTGAAAAAATTACTTTCAAAGGATCCAAAGATAATATGCTGGTGCGACCTGCATTGGTGTCTAAAGGGATGATTCAACAGAAAGGGATGCTTTATAAGATTACTAGTGGTCCAGTTGAGGATTTATTTGGAGAATTTAGCGCAAGATGGTGTATACTGGAAACTGGGAATTTTTATTGTTATTCAGATAACGTAAGCGACACTATAAAAGAACATTTTCCCATGGAGAACATTATGAGCATACAGGTTCTTCTGGATCAAAAATTTAAGTATAGGTAAGATCAGTTGTAGAAGTTTACTAAAGGTAGTAAAGTTTAAGACACTTGAATCAATTAATTTTCAAGTTTATATAAACTATATAACATCATATTATTCATAACAAATTATGTTTTTCTTAACGGTAGCAGTGGACAAATAATTACTCATTTCAAAAATAGCATTCATTCATAATTCACTTAATAAAGTTTCGATGGAATTTCGTTTGTAGTATTTCTGTTATATTTAATAACTACTCATTAGCAGTAATGGATCTAATTGTGTATTTTCATATGTTAAATTACTTTTTTGTACGACGAAACAAAAAGGGATTGTAATACATATAGTACAATGATATTTTATCTATTATTGCTTATCATACAAGAATTTATAAAGTAAATATATTTTACAGGCAAGTAACGGATTAAATACATTTATATTATAATATTGTTTATGTACTAAATTATTAAAGACAAAAAATCAATATTTATAATAATTTTTTATTACAGATATGAAAATGATGACTTGCATTGCTTTGAATTGAATGTTTCGGGCAAAAGTAGAGGGGGATATGTTTATGGTAGCAGAAGTGTTTCGGAAAGAAGAGTTTGGATGCAGAAAATTGCTGAAAGTATGACCAATAGATTCAGTGCAAAAATTACTTCTGATTACAGTAGAATGGGCTGGGCTTACGTTAGAGAAGGTAATAGAAATAGCCTTTATACATCATTTAGACACTGTAATTAGCAAATTTATTGTGCTGCGTAGCCTTTTATATTGTAAAATGAGATGCCCTGTAAATTTCAAGGTATCAGCGGAGAATGGGCTGGTGCTTGGGTGATTCTTTCTAAAAGGATCTTGTACTATGCAATTGATAATTCGTCAGTAAAGTCGATAGATCTTAGGAAAGCTCGTTGCATAGAAATGAGGACTGTGCCAGAAACAGAAATTGTCCCCACTACGAATAATAAAGGACCCAACATGGTAGTAGATTGCCCTTCTGCTGTCTTGTATTTACGTATGTGGACGTCAAGAGAAACAAAGGTACCAAAAGAAATATGATATTGACTACCTATCTCGCTCATAGAATACCTATAGTAACTCATTTTCAAACGTGTACTTTGGGATTATTTGAATTTTATTGTGTAATAAATTTTTTATTAATATTTTTCAGGCTTGGTGTCATATTGTTCGAATGAGTGCCCATAGTAATGGTGCTCTTTTAGAACAACAACAGCTAACTAAAAACGACGTACCAGTAATCGTAGAAAAATGTATCAACTTTATATATGCACATGGTAATTCGATTAATTTTTTTATTTTTCTTTGAAAATTTTATGTTTTTTTTTTTGTATAAACAGGAAGTATGTGCGAAGGAATTTACCGAAGGGCTGGAGGTGGAGGGGCCGTTCAAGAACTCTTAACACAATTTAGAAGAGACGCGTGGGCAGTTCAACTTACTATCGATAAATATTCCGAACATGACGTAGCTACGGTTCTCAAACGGTTTTTTAGGGACTTACCCGAACCTTTACTGTCTTCTTCAAACAGGCAATATTTATGCCAAGTTTCATGTAAGTTTTTTTAATGGTTTTAATTAGTTAATAATTTTAATAATTGTATTTTATTATTAGTGGTCAAAAGTATAGATGACAGGGTTCGTATGTACAAAGCAGTTTTCGACCAGTTCAACCCCATTGCTTATAAAACCATTAGACGCCTGTTAGGACACTTGCATTTTATTAACAGTCAAAGTAAGAAGAACTTGATGACCATCGATAATTTGGCAGCGGTTTGGGGCCCAACTCTAATGCAGTATGATGTAATGTTTTTGAGGACAATGATTAGAGTGTAATAATCAATAAATTAATTTATTGTCATTATAGGATAAAGACGGACAGTTGTACAGTCAAAAAGAGGTGACTGTAGTTGGTCAACTAATTTCTTTGTACAAAAATATTTTCGCCGAAAACGCCGAAGAAGTGGAGCAAGAAAGACAAATGCTTCAGGTCCTGGAGAAGTGTACTAATTCCCCCCAAGGCCCTGTTAATACCAAATCTTCTGGAGATCTTAGGGTTTGGATTTATTTACACAATAAAGATGGGGAAACATTTAATGTTGCTGTAAGGCATTTTTTAAATACTCTTTTTAGAAGTTACTATATATATTGGTTTTGATTTTAGATTGGACCCCACAAGACTGCTTATGATGTATGTTTAGAACTTAGCTCAAAAGCCAAAATAGCAGTTCACGAGTTGATACTAGAAGAATTTGTCCTTAATGGGAATTTATATAGGCCAGTACATTACAAAGAAAAGGTAAATCATTGATTATTTATTTGGAAAAGTAAAAATTCTTTTATTTTTTATTGTAGGTTTTAGATGTGGTTTTGAGATGGGGCTATTGGTGTGAAGCAGATAGAAAAGACAACATTCTGGTGCTGTCTCCGCTTTGCAAGTATTGGGAATTTATTCAAGATAAATTCTTGCCAGTTTCTGGTGAACTCAAATTTGCTGATAATAAGTCAAGAATGTTCAAGAATTTCATATTCGAACTTGCACAAGCTAAATTGACGTGCTACAAGGACAAAACGGTAAATTACATTTCTTAATACATTCCTTTATCTTGTTGGACCATCGTATTGTTTGTTAATTAGTGTGCAGTGAAATTGTCATCGTGGAACATTGAAGATATTGTATGGTATCTGGGAAACGAGCCCAAAAGGAACCCTCAGTCGAAATGGACGATTACCTTTTTCCCGAAGAACGAACCTCCAGTTAGAGCGAAATCGAAACCGTGGTTTGGGAATATTCTCGTCTGGACTGATCCTGCTTTCAGGGCCATGTGGCTGTCATCTATGCTACGACTGGAACACCCTACTGACCTTACTCCCCCACCACAACATGTTAACCTTATGTCAGCTTGAAAAAAAGGAGATTAGGACATACAAAACAAAGGTACAATTTTTGAGTTTACTATTTATCTAGGTAAGTACTAAGATTTTTTAGTGTACCATCTCTGATTAATTTAAAACCTTTGTATGTGTATTTTCAGCTTGTGCATTTAATTTTCCCAAAGATGTTTTCCAGTTTGCCCTTATTTCCTCATACGGTTAAAAATGGTTCCTCTTAAAAGTCCTAGAAAACCTTGAAATTAAGGTTTTTGCATTTTTTGCGTTTTTTTTTAGGTTTGGCAGCACCACGAAAAATGATAGTCCAATTATGTCTCCATGAAGTTATATTGTCCACAATGGTGCTATTATAAATATTTTTATTTTATAGGTTTATAANTTTGTCAAGTATTTTTTCTGTGTTCCTTCTGTACAGATGCTAAACTTTAAATATCCTCAAAATTTTCAATTTTGTCGGGTCTAACTGCTTATAAAAAGTAGTCACATGGGCACATAGGTATCCATTTTTTAAGGGTGATTGTTTAATTGTCTTTCAATTAATAATGGTAATATTAATGGTAGACTTGCGGCATACAAATCCGGTTGTGACCTGGTGGCATTCATGACCAGAATATTGTTTGTTGTTCAATTATTTATCCTTTGCGTGTAACTATTCGTTGTAGCGCAGCTATTTGCTATGCAAAATAAACGGCATGGGTATGTAAAATCGAAGAATTGTGTTTTCTCGTTGTACGTATGTGGGATGTATACGACTGGGTCGAATCGGACTCACTATTATCGATTTGTAACACCGATGATATCGATCGAGTTGTTTAAAAAAGAATTCCGATAAAATGATAATGAAAATCGCACAACGTTAACTACACAACACTGTCGTACTTAAATGCACTTGTTAGGATTTGATTTTAGACGAATTAGGCATAGGCAATTAATTAGATATGCACTTAAGTAAATTAGATGGACATGGACATTGAAGCTCAAAAAAAAAGACCTCAAAATCAAGTCTTGCACTTATCTGATTGCAGAGTGATTTATAAGACTCTTTGGTATGCTCACGCAAACATGCGTGCCATGTCTAGAACTAATTAAAAAGATCTCATTTTCTTGTAATATTATTTTCATCATATCACGAGTCAATATGTCTTTATTTTCGCTTTGGACGACCGGTTGAATATTATGCAAAAACAATTAATGGTTTACTACATAGGTACTGTTTATGTAACATTCTTATTAGTTGAGATAACCAGTTTGCGCAAAAATATTTGATTTAGGAATGGTAATAATGATTAAGGACAACATTGATGTTTTTCTGTTTTCATGTATCGATGTAATTAACTCGGATAATGAATAGAAAAAAGCAATTTACCTTTCCCCGTACGTGTCATAACAATCATACGACTATGTCGAAGACTATTTCTTGTAGGCGTATGCCTGGTGGCTAAATTGGCTGTTGCTGCGATATTCTGAGGTACTGTGGTGTTCAGCAATACTGTTTGCGTTGGTACGGTCGTTTTGGCCGACGTAACGGTCCCGTTAGTTAAACTGTAATTGTGCGAACTGCGTCCGTTGGAATTTAAGGTAGCGGTGAGATCGTCTTCGCTTGTTTTAACCCCATTGGCAAGAAGGGATGATGATCCCGCGATGTTATCGTAATAACTGGCCGGCCGGCTTAGAGACGTGGTCACGTCGTTATCAGGTCCGGGCTGATTGCAATTCTGATTCTGACTGAGGTTGTTATTAATTTTTACTTTTCGATTTTCCATCGTTACGTAAATCACTGAGCATGACCATCGAGCGCTACGGTGGTGGTTTTACGTGGTTTCTTTATAAGCCCTGAAAATCAGTTGGTGGAAAATTAACTTTTGGTTATTTATGAGAACACTAAAAATAGTACCATATTTGTTGTGTGGCAAAAAAGGCTGATTCATGAACAATTTGCTTTGTAACACATAATTTTGTTACAAATTACTCGTTTTGTGACACTTAAAATGATAATACAATAGTTGTAAGATGTAAAATTTGACGAATCCTTAGAAATTTGAAACAATTGTAACGCGGTACTTCATTTTGTTGCACGCGGCGCGCCACAACAATCCTACAACAATAAAGCCGCCATCTTATGTGCATCAATTGAACAATCGAATGACGGCAGCCATGTTTGTGAACAATTGTTTTTTATTGTTAACGCATTCTGGCGGGAATTAGAATGTTTAAATATATCATTTATTTTTCGAATTACATATTTTATACTTTCATGTGTTTTCGGTATAATTCACTGAATAGCGTGCATTGTGGTATTGTAAATAATGCATTTTTAACACGTCCTAGTTTTCACGTTATTTTAGGACTTATTAATAAAAATAGAGTGATCTTTATAAACCCTTATTCGTTACGGTCGCACGCTTATTTGTTTTACGGGCGTAACAATAAAAAAATGCTTGAATTAATTATCCGATTCGGAAACAATTGGTTTTCTTTTGTCACGCAACTCCCAGCGATAATGTCAGAATAACAAATTCGTTAATTTTTTTTAATGACGGAACAAAATTGATCAAACTGTTGATGATTATCTTGGCACTTTTTTTATTTTAACAACAACTTTTACATAAAGTAAAGTGAAAATTTGTACAGGATGTCTATCAATTCCCATTTGCATTGTTCTTTCTAATGTCACGAGTGACAAAATTTAAAATAGAATACCTGTTTCATAAATCTATATTTCCGGTGGATTTTAAATGACTAATTCAGCTGCTTAATTAACACTCGATTTCGAATGTTTAGTGTCATATAGGGGCATGAGTCACCGACAATTTAGTTCTTACAATAATAATTCTTAGCTAATTTAGAGAAATAACGCAATGGATGTAGGTCTACGTTAGAAATATGCCATCTGTAATGGCTAAATTAATTGTTTATGATAGTAATTATATTCCAATAAAATTGTGCCTCGTTATGTATTAAATACTGTCTTAATGTCGATTTAATTTCATCTGATGTAATGACGAAAAACATATTTTTAGAGTGAAATTCATTTGAATTTGAAATGGTTTCTGTTTTGTTTGAAAAGGTGTAATATCATTTTTCAAATAGATACTTACCTCTCACCTACGTGGCAATCAATATTTAATTATTTTATACTGTCATAATAACTATTAGTATCGAATACCAACATTAGAAGCGTGAGAAAATAATAAGAAATAACAAAAGGAGTTGATATTTTTAGTTTGCCAAAATTTAAAAATATGCCAAGCAATCGATAATTTTGGCATAGGACGCGTGCTAAATTTTTCTTCCTGAATTTTTTAATATTAAAGGGCGTGTTCATCGAAATTACCGTAATTAAATTATCCCAATTTTTGTGACCCATTATCCTTCTTATAGGTATTTTAACGTAGGTACACCGGCCAAGTTGTAAAAAGTAAAATCAGTAACTAAATAGAAATTTATAAAATANTAGAATTGTAAATTTGTACATGAAACGGTGGTAGGTATGGGTATATAATTTCTGTGTTCTATCAGCCGTTAATGCCAAAGTTACAAGAATGTCACTTAAATATCGAATCATTATTTTGGTAACATATTTTCTTTTATTTGTTTAACTTAATTGTATAGCTTTGTCTGTTACAATTTTCACAACCATTAAACTAAATTAATTGGACACTATAATAATATTAATAAGACCTACAATACTGAATATGTGATGCCTTCGAGGTATTATCTACAACTTCGTAGAAGTCAACATAACAAATAAATAAAACGAGTGGCTAGTACTAATAAGCCCCGTGCTACAGTACATTTCGTATATGTATGGTTTATGTTTCCATTTCTTAAGCAGCGTGTGCATTTTATCCCTTGAAATTTAAGTATGGTATCTAGCATTTAAAAAATGTACAGGGTGGATCATTTTAGAAGTCCTGTTACATGGGAATTGGATTAAATATAGGGATTGCAATAAAAGTGATCAAGATGCTTCAAACAATTACATTTTGAGGCATATATTTCGGATCGTTAACTTCGTGGTCAGTTTTATTACAATTCCTGTACATACTTGTCTAAGAGGGCATCTGCATTAATTCTGTGCAAATCTGGAGATTAACTTTACTCTACATATATAATCAGACTTCCAAGCGTCTAAAAAATCGTAACTAGACAAATTTAGCCTCGATTAAGGACACTTTTAGACTTACATAGCTAACCCCGACTAAAGTGCATTTTATGTGGACGGCAAAGTAGTTTTAAAAAAAAGTGAATGCGCCTTTTTCGTGTGTTAGGCATTGGTTAAAATGATCGGTTTGTTTTCCTTTGTCCGTACCTTGGAATAAGTATAATAGTAGCGACTGGCCCAGTGTAAATAGACATACCAGAGGGCTATGATGGCTGATATAGCATTGACGATGCCAGAACAAATCAATAAGATGGTCAAAACGTTGTCCACTTCGGGACATGTGAGGTCCATGTAATGGTAACTTTTTATGAGAGGTGAAACGCTTTGATTGTAGTGATAAGAGTCAATGGTCACTTTACAAAAACATGTCGAATTTGACTGATTTGGTGGACTACAAACCATCACAGATAACGATACTAAATGAATTATAGCAAATGCTGCAGCGATTAGACACACGGCCCCTGATATTGTTGTTAGGATAATGCTGAATACCTAAAAGAAAAACATGTTACAAAAACTGTTGTTCATTTCGGTGTTATGTACTTACTTTTGTTGTTATAACGGAATATTCGTTAGGCATCCCTGGATATTCCTTTCTACAGCAACAAAGCAGTACTAAGCCTAATATTCCTGAGAGAAGGAGCTGAAATAGATAGTTTTAGGTATTAGGGCGGGTTTGGTTAGGGCATGTGGGTACTTTATACATACCGGAATCGCACTCCAGTAGGGGTTGTCCCTCGTTCTCAAATTTGGTGCCCACATTAAGAGCCACATGGCTAAGAAACACAGGGCTGAGGCTAAGATAGTCTGCAGGCTAACCAGCGCTTTTGCTAAACGGTGGTATCTCATAATTTTTGGCATATATTTTCGGGATACTAAAAGAAAATTAAATTTGCTGTAAACTATCACACAAAAGGAACAAGAAATAAGTTGGCGAAATGTAATGGAATCTCATTGCAGATTAAAAATTAACACTTCGTTTTTTGATTGTTTCTATGGCGAAGTGTTAGTCCAAATAAATACTTTTGTTGGGGACAGGGGCGGCCTTAACCACTGCGAAGCTCCGGGCGGGTAGATCTTTTCGAGGCCCTTGTCCTTGTGCAATTATTTTTAATGATGATACTTGAAGTCTCAGAAATTCAAATAAATATTAGTACCATTAGTACCTAATATCTTTTAATTGGTAAATTTAAGCGAGAAGGCGAGGCCCCTGCAAGAACGAGGCTCCGGGCGGTTGTCTAACTCGCCCCCCCCTCCTCCCAAAGGCCGCCCTGGGTGTGGGTTTGCAACATTTATAAAATAGTGATAAAATATGTCTATTCTTATTCTTGTGATGAACTGACCGTTTCAAGGTGATATGTTTACGTGATACTGATACTATAAATAAATAAAACATACTAGAATTGCATTTACAACCGCAATGTTTTTTTATAAAGGTTTTATGGAAAAAAAACTCCTTTAAGAACATGTTTCAACCTTGAGAACTTTCTTCGATGTGACTTATTGGGATTGATGAACCTTGACAATTAGTACGAAAAGTAAGTTTAATGGCCCAACGTTAAGTTGAAAAACAAAACGGTTTTCTTGACCCACTCCAAATAATATATGCTAACGACTTTCCGAAAAGGCAGGTGCGAAACGTATTAATATGGCCACGAAAATACAATGGCACTGGGTATGTACGACGATATATACAAGGTGTTTCGTATTAACCAATAAATTATTAAATAATAATTTCCAACTGTCCTGATGTTGTAGAAGGTATGGAAAAACCGTTTATGTTACCGATTGTTTACGTTTCGTCCAACAGTTTGGAGGATTCTTCAAGATAATTGTAATGTTAAAGAAATTGTAACATATTGTCTGCATAGTACTATAACATAGATATTGAAAAAGTCCTTAAACTGTTGTACGAAACGTTGTGGTTAATAAAAATAGTTTTTTCACCTGAATTAGTTCTCATAATTAATAAAAAATATTTTTTTGAAACGCTTAAGCAATCGCAAATTGACATTACTGGCACCTACTTTACATTTATCAAAATAAAAAAAATACGACAAATATTTATTAAGCAGCAAGTTACTTAATACAGTTTAATTAACGTGTACACATAAAAGTTAATACCTAGGTAGTTATTACATTTGTTTACACTTTTTATATTCCATTATAAGCCACGACGTATTTTTTATTTGTATGGTGGTAAGTTAGTTTACATAGTTATATAAATAGCGAACAAAGGGCGGTGAAATAATTGAAAAAAAAAGAATCTTAATAATTGAACAATTGACTGCGTAATGAACAAAAGAATAATAAAATAAATAATTGTCCTGTATTGAAACAAAAAAAAGGACAATTTATTATATACCATCAGTATACTGTATAATAAGCAAAAAAAGACTAACTGTCGCGTATTTCATAAAACGATTTTTAGCGCACTGTGACTTTATTTATTAGACTTAACGTGACACCTTAGATGACCGCGCACGGTTAAGGATTTGCGTGGGTTGAATGGAAAATGAAAGAGGGTCTCTGAACTTACACTACTAATCCAAATAACGGATTTATACACACGTTTTACAACGAATGAATAATAAGCCGTTAAAAAGTTTGTCAAGTATTTTTTCTGTGTTCCTTCTGTACAGATGCTAAACTTTAAATATCCTCAAAATTTTCAATTTTGTCGGGTCTAACTGCTTATAAAAAGTAGTCACATGGGCACATAGGTATCCATTTTTTAAGGGTGATTGTTTAATTGTCTTTCAATTAATAATGGTAATATTAATGGTAGACTTGCGGCATACAAATCCGGTTGTGACCTNTTCAAATAGATACTTACCTCTCACCTACGTGGCAATCAATATTTAATTATTTTATACTGTCATAATAACTATTAGTATCGAATACCAACATTAGAAGCGTGAGAAAATAATAAGAAATAACAAAAGGAGTTGATATTTTTAGTTTGCCAAAATTTAAAAATATGCCAAGCAATCGATAATTTTGGCATAGGACGCGTGCTAAATTTTTCTTCCTGAATTTTTTAATATTAAAGGGCGTGTTCATCGAAATTACCGTAATTAAATTATCCCAATTTTTGTGACCCATTATCCTTCTTATAGGTATTTTAACGTAGGTACACCGGCCAAGTTGTAAAAAGTAAAATCAGTAACTAAATGGACATTGAAGCTCAAAAAAAAAGACCTCAAAATCAAGTCTTGCACTTATCTGATTGCAGAGTGATTTATAAGACTCTTTGGTATGCTCACGCAAACATGCGTGCCATGTCTAGAACTAATTAAAAAGATCTCATTTTCTTGTAATATTATTTTCATCATATCACGAGTCAATATGTCTTTATTTTCGCTTTGGACGACCGGTTGAATATTATGCAAAAACAATTAATGGTTTACTACATAGGTACTGTTTATGTAACATTCTTATTAGTTGAGATAACCAGTTTGCGCAAAAATATTTGATTTAGGAATGGTAATAATGATTAAGGACAACATTGATGTTTTTCTGTTTTCATGTATCGATGTAATTAACTCGGATAATGAATAGAAAAAAGCAATTTACCTTTCCCCGTACGTGTCATAACAATCATACGACTATGTCGAAGACTATTTCTTGTAGGCGTATGCCTGGTGGCTAAATTGGCTGTTGCTGCGATATTCTGAGGTACTGTGGTGTTCAGCAATACTGTTTGCGTTGGTACGGTCGTTTTGGCCGACGTAACGGTCCCGTTAGTTAAACTGTAATTGTGCGAACTGCGTCCGTTGGAATTTAAGGTAGCGGTGAGATCGTCTTCGCTTGTTTTAACCCCATTGGCAAGAAGGGATGATGATCCCGCGATGTTATCGTAATAACTGGCCGGCCGGCTTAGAGACGTGGTCACGTCGTTATCAGGTCCGGGCTGATTGCAATTCTGATTCTGACTGAGGTTGTTATTAATTTTTACTTTTCGATTTTCCATCGTTACGTAAATCACTGAGCATGACCATCGAGCGCTACGGTGGTGGTTTTACGTGGTTTCTTTATAAGCCCTGAAAATCAGTTGGTGGAAAATTAACTTTTGGTTATTTATGAGAACACTAAAAATAGTACCATATTTGTTGTGTGGCAAAAAAGGCTGATTCATGAACAATTTGCTTTGTAACACATAATTTTGTTACAAATTACTCGTTTTGTGACACTTAAAATGATAATACAATAGTTGTAAGATGTAAAATTTGACGAATCCTTAGAAATTTGAAACAATTGTAACGCGGTACTTCATTTTGTTGCACGCGGCGCGCCACAACAATCCTACAACAATAAAGCCGCCATCTTATGTGCATCAATTGAACAATCGAATGACGGCAGCCATGTTTGTGAACAATTGTTTTTTATTGTTAACGCATTCTGGCGGGAATTAGAATGTTTAAATATATCATTTATTTTTCGAATTACATATTTTATACTTTCATGTGTTTTCGGTATAATTCACTGAATAGCGTGCATTGTGGTATTGTAAATAATGCATTTTTAACACGTCCTAGTTTTCACGTTATTTTAGGACTTATTAATAAAAATAGAGTGATCTTTATAAACCCTTATTCGTTACGGTCGCACGCTTATTTGTTTTACGGGCGTAACAATAAAAAAATGCTTGAATTAATTATCCGATTCGGAAACAATTGGTTTTCTTTTGTCACGCAACTCCCAGCGATAATGTCAGAATAACAAATTCGTTAATTTTTTTTAATGACGGAACAAAATTGATCAAACTGTTGATGATTATCTTGGCACTTTTTTTATTTTAACAACAACTTTTACATAAAGTAAAGTGAAAATTTGTACAGGATGTCTATCAATTCCCATTTGCATTGTTCTTTCTAATGTCACGAGTGACAAAATTTAAAATAGAATACCTGTTTCATAAATCTATATTTCCGGTGGATTTTAAATGACTAATTCAGCTGCTTAATTAACACTCGATTTCGAATGTTTAGTGTCATATAGGGGCATGAGTCACCGACAATTTAGTTCTTACAATAATAATTCTTAGCTAATTTAGAGAAATAACGCAATGGATGTAGGTCTACGTTAGAAATATGCCATCTGTAATGGCTAAATTAATTGTTTATGATAGTAATTATATTCCAATAAAATTGTGCCTCGTTATGTATTAAATACTGTCTTAATGTCGATTTAATTTCATCTGATGTAATGACGAAAAACATATTTTTAGAGTGAAATTCATTTGAATTTGAAATGGTTTCTGTTTTGTTTGAAAAGGTGTAATATCATTTTTCAAATAGATACTTACCTCTCACCTACGTGGCAATCAATATTTAATTATTTTATACTGTCATAATAACTATTAGTATCGAATACCAACATTAGAAGCGTGAGAAAATAATAAGAAATAACAAAAGGAGTTGATATTTTTAGTTTGCCAAAATTTAAAAATATGCCAAGCAATCGATAATTTTGGCATAGGACGCGTGCTAAATTTTTCTTCCTGAATTTTTTAATATTAAAGGGCGTGTTCATCGAAATTACCGTAATTAAATTATCCCAATTTTTGTGACCCATTATCCTTCTTATAGGTATTTTAACGTAGGTACACCGGCCAAGTTGTAAAAAGTAAAATCAGTAACTAAATAGAAATTTATAAAATAAACTAATTTTATGACGTTTCCTTCTTTGTTTATACAAGTCCATAAACACAAAATTCTTATGAAAAAATCAAATTGAAAAGATAATTTNGTTTTTTAATTTATAATTAATGTATATGTAATGTAACGTATGTATGTTCACTTTTCGACGTAAAAAAATGAAATTTCGGCCGGACTACCCTAATTGTAAACAGAGTTTATTATCTGTACATCTTGTTGTTTGTTGTTAAACTGTTCATTTCTGTTCACATAGGTTTGTTTATTATTATTACATTGACAATTCCGCAGGTTGTTTGGTTTTTCCGTTTTAAAATGCCTACCTGAAGGTCATTAAAACCATTAAATTACCGACCTATCGACAAGGCAGTTTTGCCTAATTACTAGAAGCAATCTACACAATACAGAAATACCTGTATTGTTATACATAGAAAAGCTAATTCTTGTTCAACAGTACAACGCTCGTCGAAAAATGTGCGACTTATAATTTGTTTATAAATTTTTTGTTTCATCTCGAAACCTGTTTTTTAATAAATAGATGAACTTTGATAAAATCAATAGAACGTAAATTGCATTCCTTGTGGAACATTTTTTTAATAAAAATTTTAATAATTAATAACAAACAAAACGTTCGGTTGATTTTGTTTAATGGTCTGTGGATATTTGGTTTCTACAATTTCGTTTCAACCCTCTCGGGTTATTCCCAAAAGAGTTCTCAATAACAGAATTTGTCTTAAGAATAACCCACAAGAGGGTTTAAGTGGTATTGTAGAGACCAATAAACCTTTTATTAGTGAAACAACCCTATTCCTTTCTGTCTCTTATTAGTTATTTGAACTTTGATTATTCAAAGGTAATTTTTTTTCTGAGAAATCGAGGTCGTTATTGGTATTGTCCACAATTTTTGACGGTCACAGAGTACAATACTTTTGTTTAAATTTGTTGTGTTACAACCTTGAATGCTTTCGTGGGTGCGATACATAAGATAATACGGTCAATAATCATGTTGATTAGTGGTAAGGTACCATCATTATGGATTCGTTACCTGGAGCCAAAATACCAGAGACCCTTTGTCTTGATTTAAATATCATTAGTGTCAGGCTATCCGGAGATGGTATTACTGTTTTTGGAAATTAAAATTTGTGAACGATGTAGATTAAGTTGGTCTAAAGATTTTCTTTTCGACTCTATGTATATAAAAATTCGTTCGCTTTTTATTATATTGGATATACAGTAGAATTCGTTTATTATAACTCCGCCTATATTGACCAACCGTTTAATATGAAGTAATTGCTGTGTTAAGTTTGGTTTTTATATTAAATTCTCTATTGGAAACGTTGGATATAATGACTCCGTTTAAAATGACACGTCGTTTATTATGACGGATTCTCAAGAAATCATATCCGGCTATAGTGACCCATATGATTAATAATAACATTTTCGCTCATTTTTCTGACCCTTCTTATGAAAACTTCAAGTTTTCCATTTGTTTGCAATAATTACAGGAGTTATAAAGAGATTTGTTTTACTGGTTTTGGGGAAAATTGCAGTACGTACTTACAATGTAAGGTAAATAGTAAAAATGCTACCGATCATTTTGCTACTCGACCGCAGCATTACACCCACAATAATTTCCACGGTAGATGTAACATGATAATGCGTCCGTCCGCAATTCAAGCAAATCCTTGTACAAGAGTCGCCTTGGTCTAACGAGCATAAAATTGTGGAGAGCGACTTGAAATGGCCTATGACGCGGGTTAATTGCGAGAAAACTCATTTATTTTGTCGTCATTGTGGTTCTCTAAAAGTCCTAACTTTCAACCCGCCAGATACTCGACCTCTTTTTCACACAAGTCAACAACGGCCCTTTCCGCGCATTCGTATGTATTCCTTTCATTTTCTTCTGATTATGGCGATTTCTCCAAAATTTGAAACAATTGCAATACGGCATTTAATTGTTATCGTCAGTATTTATCGTAAATTTGTATTTGGCGCGTCGTGAATCGCAGTTATTTTCTATTGGCTCGACGAAACAATCACCCAACAATCGAATGACGGCAGCCATGTTTGTCAACAATTGTTTTCCATTGTTGACGCATTCAAATATTTCTAGCGGGAAATTTAGTTTGCGGCGCATAATTTCATAAATAGGATGGTCTTTTATTTGCATTAACATGTTAATTTGTAATTGGGAACTTTAATTATTACAGGATGGGTTCATAAATGCTTCACAGGAAGTTTTAAGCATAAAAGATGGGTCAACACATAGCGTTTTCAAGATTTGTAGGTAATATTCAAGGTTACTACTGTAACCAACTAAGTTGCGTGTCGAAAAACCGGTGTTAAAATGAAATGAATGAATCAAACGAAGAAGAGAAGAAGTCGGGTGTTATATTTTCCGTACGACTTGTCAGACCACAAAAAATTAACCGGAAAGAAGCTCTAAAATAGATACCTAAGAACGTCGTTAAAATAATGAGATACTAGGATAGGTATTTTCATTGACGTAAATTTTTTATTTTATTTTTAAAATGTTACTTACCTCTATAATTCCATACTTAAAATATCCTAGAAGAAAATTGTTGTTTTTCACTGCACTTTTCACTTTTTTGAAAACATTTCCGGTGACTTCAAAATGTGAATAACTAGATAGATGGCTTTGCGTCAACAATGTTGTGCGTCAATCAACAACTGTCGTTTGTTTACAAAATCGTGTTCGATTGTTACCTTTGTTGTCGCAACAAGCGACACGTTCTAATACCTGCGAGTTCGGCTAACAACTGAGTCTGACGTGGGAGAACCAAGTTTCAAAAGGAAGTTCCCAACAATCGAAATTGAATCGAACGTATACACATAACACGTTACGCTAGTCGACAGAGTTCCGTCCTTTCTTCAAAACAATAATTAAGGAGACGTTGGCAAGCCTGAACGAACAATTGTGCCACAGGTAGATCTAAACAATGGAAAACAAATGGCGAATGTAGTCGCTAACAATGGTTGCGGCTCGTAATACGGAGATTCAGTGCTTTTATTTTTCTTATAAAGCATGTAATCGACATGAAACGCTGCTTTCATAATAAACTAACACGACGCAATTTTAGAGAAACAGATGTATCTAGTCAGCTATGTTCGTATGTCATAGGGTGGTTGGTACTGGTAACAATGAAACAATTGTGCGCAACAATGAATCATTGTAAAGTAACAATGGATTGTAAAACAAAATGGTGAAAATTAGCGCGCCTTTTAAAAGTAATTGATAAAACAACGAGTTAAAGTAATCGATCATATAAAAAGTTCAGTAAACAAAGATGAAATTAAAATGTCATTATGTTAACAAATCGTTTTATCACACAAATTGCCAACTATTTCTTGTTCTTATTTTTCTTTTGTTTTTCATTTAATTAAACGCCTATAGGTCATTGTATCGAAAGAATTCCGTATACAACGGGCCTTTAAAAACTCGTAAAATTCACCCGTAAAAAAGAGATTAAAATGTATACCTTTACAATGTACTTACGGCAGTAAAACTGGTAGAAGTAATCTTCGTGCAATGCATGGTTAAATTTTGGTTGGATCGACATAACAACAGCTTTCTGTGGAGAATGTACGTTTTCCGTGCAATTTTCTTTTACGTACGCGTTCACTAACACTGTTGTTTGGAACATGTTAACACCCGGGGAAAAACGAAATAGGATACAGAAGTAAAATTTACACGTTGTTGTGTAGATTGGCTGGCATGAATTTATTTTTGGTTCACGTTGAAAACAATTTAAAACATATGGCCCTCCGGTACTTAAAATTATGAAGAATGCCGATACTTCTATGCTGTACAGGAAGTTATTTCCTCAACTATAGTATAGAAACACGTCTATATTTCTAGAAAAAAATTCAGAAATAAATAAAATTTGCGCTTTTGGAATTTTAATTCCAATTTTTTTTTTCTTNACTAAATTGTTTAAAATTTTATTCGTAATATAATAATAATAATATTTTCTATTAGGAATAATCTAAATCAAAATTACAATTTATCATCGATGATTCGTATTACAAATCTACAGTTTTGAGCAATTGAATTATAATTTAATACAAAAGACAGCTAAAAGATAAAAAAATATTCAAAAATACTATCACAGAGCTAAAATGGAAGGTAACCTACGAATTATCCTTATCGTTATTATCTAGTGTCTTTTATAATTAACTTCGGAAAAATCTGTATCTGGAATTACAACAAGGCACCCCATTGTAGGTATATCAATGTAAAGTCTTCAAATGTTATTTTTAGGCGAACAATTTTCAAAATAATAAATGCAAATTAAAATAATAATTACCACGTATAGTACTTGCAGTTAAACAAAATTAAGCCTAAACCAACTAAAAATGAGTAGAAAAATAATATTTTGTATAATAAATTACAATAATGATAATAATAATAATAATAAAAGACCACTAACTAATAAAATAAATGACGATCAGGCCATATAATTAATAACAATTTAATAATATAATACCACTAGTAAACTAATATGCTTAAAAAAATTTTGAAATTCTCAGATTCACTTCAGTTGTAGTTTTTATGTTGATTATGGTATTAAGTACACCCTGTAGAAGCGTTATAAAATTTTGACTTCATAAAAACGTCGGAAAAGCTAACGATAAGTGCAGCTCATAATTGTAAGTACTTTTTATAAGTAAAAACGTAAATATTTATGCGTCAGGTGTTCTAATTGTAAGTAAAAATAAATAATGTACAAATTTTTGAGAAAGTAGTACACACAATCAATTAATAATTTACACACGAAATTGTTAACAATTTTCAATCCGCCTTATTAAATATTATGGTAACTGAGTACTGAGTACTAGGATATCATTTTAGGAAATCCAAAATTACTTTTTTCCGTAATTATAGTATTTGGAATGGCAATTATCACAAATGATAACAAAAATAAAATTACCTAATATGTACGTAACCATAAATATTTTATTAATAATGGATTGGGTTTTTGTTATATGTATTATTACTATAATAAAAAACTCGTCCGTTTGTTTGTATTTGGCGCGCCGGAATCATCCAACAACAATAGAGCCGCCATTATACGATATGCTGCGCACAAACACCTAACAAACGAAATATGACGGCAGCCATGTTTGCAAACAATTGTTTTTCATTGTTAACGTATTCAAATGTTTCTGGCGGGAGTTAAAATGTTTAGGGCGTATAATTGAATCATTTGATTGTGCCAAAAAACCGCAATGTTAAAACAGAAATTAAAAGAAATTAATCTTCAACTAAGATGAGAATCGTGTTTAAACCCTGTTAAAAATAGTTTACTTAACCAAATATCCTTATACCAGTAAGGGGTGGGAAGGAAGTTTATACTAACGGTCCCTAGGACTTGGGCTTCTGGTACTCGGCGACTCCGGATTACTCAAACTCTCTTCCAATAACAAGGGCCTTTTTTCTTCCTTTTTCTTTATTTGTTTGCCCTTTTTGCCCCGGTTTATGACGCCTTCATCGTCATCCATCATGTGCAAAATTTGTACGTGATCGGACGCATCTATCGGTGCCACAGATATGTCTCTCACAGCTCTGAATTTACCACAATTGTTTAAGTGTTCGTTCTCTAACCGGAAAAAATTCCAAACGAAACGTCGAAATACCTCAAGAGGGGCCATTATGGACGTCATTAGGTCCCCACTCACGTATCCCATTTCCGTGACGAAGAACGAAAGTGCCCAACCGAAACGTAACAAGAGATCTTCTATTACGGCGAAATAGTAGAATGGCTGAGGAATTATAAAAGAATGTGAAGACGGTTATGAGAAACCGTGTAAAAGACTCACCTTGGAATAGACAATTTCTTCCCTTAAAAATTTATTTTCCCCCGCAGATTTGTCCATTAAACCCCAATCCATTTTTATATCCCATGTATACGTATAACATGAGCTTACAAAAGAAGCAATAAGATATAAAGAAACGTACGGATTATCGAATAAGGAATCGTATTTATCTACAAAAAGTTTTAGTTACGATTTTATAATCATTTATTCACTTTTCTATGAAAATCGCCTGATACTTTTTTTATTCATTTGTACATATCGTTTATAAGGATATCGGATATTACAACGAGTTTAATTTACCGACCGACAGCAAATGTAGTAAAATTTGAATGAAATAATAATTATTTAATACGACACGTATAGGCATAATCCAACTTTAAATGACTCTTAGAGCTGAGATACAAAAAAATATTATGGGACAAGGAAAACCTCCCTTGAAAAATAATCAATAAGTATTGGATGGTTTCGTACCCTGCAAATAACTCTCAGAACCCCTGATAAATTATCTCATATTCATAGCTTTATCTTAAATAACTCGTAGAGTTAGGATACCAAAAATTATTGTGGGTCAAGAAAAACTTCCCTTAGAAAACAATAAATTAGTATTGGAGGATTTTGCTCCCTATAAATAACCCTCAGACCCCCTGAAAAATTATCTCATAGGCATAATCTCATCTTAAATGACCCGTAGAGTTAAGATATTAAAAATTATTGCGGGTCAAGAAAAACTTCCGCTAAAAAATGATAATTTACCTGTAAATGTATTCTTGCCTATAATAAACAGAAAGAAGACATTTTTAGTAATACGTTGTGGTGTTCGGATACAGCGAACTGCGATTAGAGCGAATAGATTTCATTATAAACGATATGTAGTGTACCTCGAAATGTTTTTGAATGTGTATGTGTAATATTATTATGTCTACAACAAATCCTATTGGGAAAAAAAACAGCAAAATTTTAGCCCTTACGTTTGTTAACCCCCCTGAGGGTGTTGAATATCACAACGAAGAAGGTGGTGGAATATTTTCCGGCATTGACAAGATGAGGAAAGGCCTCTTTTGTGTCTCGATAACGCCTCAAGCATTGGGCAAAGCGTATCCAAGCAGGAATGCAATTCACTATAGGGCGAGTGTAGAAAACTACGCCCCGACAATCAGACACCTCTACAAATACGACGTTTTGTAGATAAAGGGTTGAGAAATACGAAAAGACAGTTTACCTCCACCGTCTATCCAATTATCAGTAGTCAAATAAAAGCAAAGGAGAAAGTGGAAATCTAAAAGCGCGTAGACCAAACTATTAAGCTGATCAGCGAGCCAAAAGTCCGCAAATCCGACATAAAAAAATGGCGCAGCAAACATCCGACCCTAAAATACCGGAAACACAATACATATATACGTATACATATTATCTGATGCAATTCCTTTTTCACTTACACAAAGTTTGATAAGCCAGAATCGTGCTTCGTAACGAAAAACTTTAAAGGGATTAATAACGAATGCGATCATCACAAATGTTAAACTTAGGGGATTTACATAAGGGGGAATGCTTAAACTATCGCTGTAAAGGAAACTTAATAGACTCAAAGTCCAAACCACCCCGAAAATGGCAGCCATCTCCATCAGGTGCTGCTCGGACAAATGATTTCTCGGATCCAGTTCGAAAATTAACACGTGATTAACGCCAGATGATCGCCATCCGTAAACGTTTACGCCGATCAGAAATAAAAATTCAATTATCAGCAACGGTCCCCGATATAATACGAAAGCTGTTTTTAAACTTTCACTAGTCCCTTCGTGGAAAACGGCTGCAAGCATGTAATAAGGGATGAAATTGTGAACAATTTTTTGTCTACATGCGCGTGAACGGTACTGATCTCTTCCAAAAATGAAATAATTACACACCATACCCCATTTATTTTCAAAATAGACCGGATATAAACACAATCAAGCATTGTGATTGCCGAAAACCGAAGTACTGAACAGGACCGTATTTAAAAGTAAGACACGTTAAGCGTATAGGAATTTATATATTTGAAATCCTTTAATTATGTGTACTATAAGTATACATTTTTTACATTAAAATTAAAGTACTCATGTATATACTGAACCACCCCCTTCGGATTAACCAATAAAGACTGCACTGATTCAGTTTTGGTTTGGTTTATATTGAAACTGGACAGAGTATAGATTTGATTGATCTGATTTTTCGATAAATTCAAAAACAATTTAATTTTTTATTAAGTGCAATCCTTCCAAAACGTTAGACCGTATACGCGCCTGTTGGTAGATCAGGACCGTTCTTAAAATATTACCTACCTGATAAAACGACGGCTACAAAAAGAACTATAAAAGATCCTGAAAATAAACCAACTTTAAACGTTATCCAAGGCGATTGCTGTTCGCCTAGAGGAGGAACTCTTAGTTTTTTCATTGCCTTTTGCCGATCACCCCCTTCGAGCTCGTTCGTCACTAGGTTCTCCGTGTCCTGTATTAATCTGTCGATGTCTTTGTTGGTATAAAAATGAGAAGTTTCGACACATTCCTCGCGCCATTTGGCACCCAAATTAACATTCAACAACTAAAACAGTCGTCAGTACACAAGAGTTGTTCTTTCATGAATTAGCCAATGTACAGAGAAATTAAAAGGTACAGTCAAACTTCTGTAATTTAAACATCTATAGCTAGAAATATTTTCTAACTCAGACAATATTTGTCGCTCCCTTGACATACATATCGGTTTACACTTATCCCAAACTCTTTGACTTTAGTAAAAAAAGCCTGTAGGATAGAATCGTAAGGTTACGGTAGGAAAAGATAACACCAACGAAGTAAGCACTGCATTTGGAAAGTTCGAGTTAGCGGAGTTTGACTGTACTTATACACTTTTTAAAATACTCTGTACATATTACAGTCTGACACCTCTCTCACCTTATCGTGTTTTTTGAGTATCTTTCTGAAGCCTGTAAAGTTTAGAGTTTGATAGTTTTGTAACAAAATAAGACTAAGGTAAAACTCGCTGTAGGCCAACTTAAGTTCTGCCAATTTCCTAGAGGGTATATGCTTTTTTAAGTCGACGTTTTTGTATTTTGTTGGTTTGTTTTTTTGTTCGATCGCACTCAGGGTAGTTTTTAGCTCGCTGAGGAGTGTGGCATATTTCCTTTGCGCTTCCGCCAGCTTTTCTGAATAGAATGTGTTGATCTTTTTCAATTCTTTATCACAGTATAGGAAAAATTGCTCGTCAAAGTTTTTAAAGTGGCGCGTCAAAACTTCGGGTTCGACGCTTTCGGCGGACGGCGCCTCCTCGATGGCCAAGTACAACATGGCCTTCATTTCCTAGATGAAAATTATCTTTTTTTAAAATCAAATGGTAGCAGATCCATTTAATCTTTTACATAAAGATCCGACATATTTTAAAACAATCAAACATCAAACAGTTCGTTTCAGTTCTAAAACGCGCCGTTAAGACAGCAGGTAAAGGTTGGTCTGTGTTCTGTCGGAGCTGCCTGTGACGCGCTGATGAGATCCAAAAAAATCGAAATCGCGATCCGCGTCTGGCAGTTTCGACAGAATACAGACCACTTCGAATTATTGTATTCGAGTTCGTTTCAGATAAATATTATTACTATTACTAGTTCTTCCCCCCTATCAGTCACTGTGAGCTCGAAACTGCATCATTGCTTCGAGTGGTCGAAATTCACTTTTGTTCAATTTGTTTAATCACTTTCTTTGTGTTAAAAATTGTTTGAAAAATTAAATGTAAAGGAATTGTTTGTAAATAGGTATGCAACACATCGTACACTTCAGCATAAGAAATTGCTGATATTAACTACGTAATACTACTTTGCCCTGCGCTGACAGCACTCATAATTTCTTTTATATATAATATTATCGGTAAAATGTTTTTGCGTTAATTTATCTAAAAAATATCAGTACGCCCCTGTCCATTACATTGTTTTTGCTTTCTGCTAACATTTCATATTAAAATATTTGTTCTTAATTGCTCCAACAACAAATTTACGTTGCAAGTGCTTATCAGGCATTAGGAGTAACATTGAATTTTAATTAACTGATTCTCAGTAGATTGTTAATTACCTAATATGACATCATACTGGTATACAACTTTCATCAACAGTTTAGTAATTGATAATATTTAATTTTTAGTTAATGGTTCGATAACTTTATAAAGTATGAGATGAACAGTAATTTCTTCATAATGTTAAACAAACAAAAATAATTGAATAAATTTTAAATTTCTTAGTGAACATTAATCTTAATAGTTTCAAATTTGGCGCTTTTAAATATCGCTTAACCATATGATTTTGACAGGAGACAAACAATGACTATAACCTGTTTTTCGAAATTGCATTGTTGATTGTTGTAATTTTTAAAGAGCCAACAATATATTGCTATTTTCACACTTACAAACAACAGAAATGAAAAAAGTGGCATATTTGTCGTGTTTTAAAATGCAAACACCTTCTACCAATAAAGTACAAAACAAAAAAAATGGGTCATGGGCTACTATCAATAAAAAAACAAATCGTACCTCGTAATTTATATATTGCTTTCTCCATTCTGGGGTGATATGCGCTAATAAATGTTCGGCAAATTTCATTTTTTATTTTATGTAACATAAAAACTAATAAAATCGTTCTACTACGTCCGTTATTGTCTCGCCACGAATGCATACTGACAAATCATAACAACTTATCTTGTTATATCTTTTCAAGTGTAAATGTTTAAAAATATTTTAACACCAGCGTATGTTATGTATTTAATTATTCCTCAATAAATATTTAATTGCTTAATAGCTACCGCTGAAAATGAAAGTTTACGAGTGTTATATAAATATGGTTACAGTATGGGTCTACTATTAATAAGTTTTTGATAATTTAACAAACAATGCTTCAAATCCTAAATCAACATTAGTAATTGCTTTATGTGTGGTTTTATTTTCATAATTCGCGGGAATTAATTATTTTAATTTGAAAAAGGGCATGTTTTATTTTCTACCCTTGTTTAAAACAGTTATGAAGATTTTAAATTAAAAAAAAATAATCATAAAATACCATTTATTAAAATGTTAGTTTATATTTTTGATTATTAGATTTATTATTAAAGATTTTATTCAAATTATTACAAAATAAATAAAACTGTACATACTATTATTACTTAAAAGAATAATTTATTGTTATTGTTTTAATTGTAAAATTTTGATTGGTAGAATCAACTTAAAAAGCTAGTTGAATGGAACAATTATTCAAAGGTCGAAAAAGTTACATAACCAATACATAACTGACATTTTAAGGTTAAAAGTGAGCTTATAAACTTAAGTTTTTAGAATTTTGTGCTTTTTATAACTAAAATATCTTAAAAATCAACATGAGTGCTTGGAGAGCAGCTGGTTTAAAGTAAGCAGATAATTATATTGATGTTAATCTCTATTTTAGCGTATGTACTTTATATTAGTTACACAAGGTACTCCCAAATATCAGCCCAATTGTTACGGCAAGCCTTAAAAAAAGAATTTAAGGCAGATGCAGAAAAGCGGGGCGCTACGCACATCAAATTTACTCGATGGGCTGATGGTAAACCCATAAGTAAGTGAATAACATGTTATGCAATCAAGTTCATAATTACACAAATACATATTTTTTATTGAAATTACTTAACAAAAATTGCACGTTTAATTTAAGCGTTAATCGTCATTTAGTAGATATTTCATTTTTTATTTTAATTTTTAGGCGAAAGAGAGTAAAAATGAGTAAGTAACGTGTGTGCAAATAGTTTTGATATTAATATGATGACTAAAACTTTTGTGATGTGCATTTTGAATTTAACAGCCTCTAGTTATTCTAATGTGTTACTGTTCAACAGTATTTTTGTATGCAATTTGTTGTTTTAATTGCTAAGATATTAAAATAACAATTTATTTTCAGGAGAATCGGTTGCTGAACAAACCAAATAAAAAAATTATAATGGGATATTTCCACATTTAAAGTAAAGTCTAGTTGTAAAAATATATCTAATTATTAGCTTGTTTTGTTTTTTATTTCTATTATAAAAAGTAAAATTAAAAATAATAGAAGTTCTATCAAAACACACACTAACAGCTAACAATTTTTTGGTAGTCCATTAGAATCCAATAAATGCTCCTTAGCGTCTTGTAATAGTCTTGGTCCATCTCCAATTTTAGTATGGATTATGTACCTTAAAGTGTTTAAGCCATACTGTGTAATCCCAGTTGGTAAAGATAAATCCTTAAACATAAACATTAGTTTTTAAATATTGTCATATTATTTGGGTTATACCTTTGAAAATAGATCTTTATCAAGTGCAATTCCCCTGTAATACTCATTGGCATTTAAATTCGAAGGAAAAACGTATCGTATTAAAGAGAGTACTTCACTTAGATCTGACTCTTGTATGAATAGACATGCATTGGGGCCTGCGTCAAATGTATATGCTATCTAAAGAGTAAAAAAGTAAATACAAATTTAATTTTTATAATTTTTCTTCTTGTAATTACCTTCAGTTGCCCTTTAAATTCGTTGTAAACGTGAACCATATCTATTATGGCATGTGAAACATCATTCATATAGAAACAGGGGGGATAAGTGTCGCAACAAACAGCATGAAACTGATTAGAGTCCTTCATTGTTAACTTTGCAAACGACTGAAAGTCTTTCTTGTGTACTGCGTCTATTATTTTTTCAATTCTGTCTGGGACGACAAATTTGGTGCGATGTTTCAATAATTCAGATGTCATTACCGTTTGTTTCATTCCCAAAGTTGAGCTATACTTTTTACGACTGTCGTTTACAACAAGCACAAGAACTCTAATTTCTGGCCAGTGATCTGTCGGAAATATTTGTGTCGCGATTGAATCGGTGCCATCTTCGAGACTTCCTTTATGCCATCGAACCTATCGTTCACTTTATAATGAATAGGTATTACTTTTATCACATTATACTTACCCAACCACCAAAAATACTGCGACAAGCACTACCTGATCCATTTCTTGCAATTGCTGTAATGTCTCCATCCACTTGATAGAGTGAGGCAAGTGCATACACAAGGCAAGCATAGCCTGCTGCTGATGAAGCCAATCCGGCTGCTGTAGGGAAATTGTTCTCTGAACATATGTGAATTTTCCATGAAGATACCTCTTCTGAATTTTCTTTATTTAGTCGGTCTTTTACTGGAGGTATATGCATTATTTAAAAGTTTATTTATTAGCGTTTTTACTTACAAGCCTTTAGACAGTTACTCAATCTGGGATTATCCATATTTTCCTCTTTACCATTAAGCCAGAATTTGTTTTCCAATAAATATGGGCTTATCATAACAGTAGTTTTGGCACACATCTAAATTGTTTTTAATTTCTACATTATTTAACACAAAATTAATGTTACTTACATCTTCCAAGCTAAGGGTAGCACTAAATGAGTCGTTTAAGGGCAATATGAGGTCATCATCTCGTTTGCCCCCTGCAATATAATAATTATTGACACTCAGTACACTTTTACTTTAATTAACTACTTACAATACTTGATAGTTGCAATGTTTACAGGGGCCACTGCAGTAACGATCCTCATTTTCAGCAATTTTTACTATTTTATGAGGTAATAATGAACCAACTTGTTCTTTAACAAAAGTAGCACACAATTTGCATTTTCCATTCAAAAACAACGGTATTACTTAAGTTTTATTTTTAATTGTTTTACATCATGACGTGGTATTTCTTTTGTGATATTTTAAATATTTATGCAAGATTTTTATCTAATAGGTACTTCTTTTTTATTTTTATACAAGAGATACTTATCTTCAGGAAACACTTGGGTCAACTTCTTAAAAAGATGCACATAAAAACATTTAGATTAAGATTCCGTTGTCGTGTATCTCGTAAATTTGTTGTGTTAGGAATAATTCATATTTAATAGCAAATTAACAATACATAATAAGTTATATTTTGAAAGTTGAAGCCCCTAACCTGTAAATTATTTGAATAATAGAGTCCCTGGCTCCCCCTGGTGGTCAACAACTGTAACTGCAGATCAGAGCAGTCTGGTGGTCATTAACGTCATTAATTTAAAGAATTTTAGATTTAACAGTCATGTAAAATTTACTGATGAAACATTGTTATTTACATACGTTTTCAATAGTTTCCTAACAAAAATTTACATTTTTCCCTTTTTTTATTAATGCTAATGATGATATTAGTTATTGTTTATTTTTAGAATTAACGTAACCTCCAATTCGTCTGACAGACGAGAGTGTACATCACTTACCTAGTAACCAAAATTTTGTTATAAATTTTGTTTTTGTGATGCTAAGTTCTCAAGATATTGACTTAAATTTAGTTAACAATGAAAAGCAAGATTCGGAGTCAAATTCGCACCTTTCGCTTGCTGATTCAATAGACAACACGAGACGTAGGAGGTAGTAAACAAATTTCTTTTGTTGATATTGCGCTAATTAGTTAATTTCTAGTTCAAATCGTTCGATTAAGCGTAGAAAGTTCGATGATGAACTAGTTGAATATAGTTTAGGATTACCAGGCGTCTCTACTATGAAAGTAAGAAAAAAAATATTTGTTTAAAAATTCTAACCTAAAATTCTCAAATATTAGAGTAGTCGTTCACGAACCCAGTCATTAAACACGTCGAATTACGAATACTACGGCGCTCCCACCCCTGTAACGCCCCCCGCACCCCCAGCAACTCCATCTACCTCGTTTGCCCCTGAGGTAAAAAGGAAACATGTTTCTAAAAGTTCATCAGGTTCCTCCAAACGTAAGAAAGGACGCCAGCAAAATCAAATAGCAACCAAAGATTTGGGCAGGTGGAAACCCACCGATGATCTAGCACTGATTATTGGTGTTCAGCAGACTAATGATTTAAGAACAGTTCATTTGGGTACAAAATTCTCATGTAAATTCACAGTACAAGAACTTCAGCAGCGCTGGTATGCTTTGCTTTATGATAAAGCTGTTTCAAGGATTGCTGTCGCTGCCATGAGAAATTTGCATCCTGATATGATTGCTAATGTGCAGGATAAGGCCCTTTGGAGTGCAGAGGAAGAAAAACTATTGGCTGGAATTAATTCAGTTAGTCTTGCTTTGTTTGGTGTGTTCTTTCATTAACATACAAATTTAAATTCTAGAGTAGCAATCCAAACTTGTCAGTATTTGCTGATTTACTTGTTCAACATCCTGAAGTATTCTATCCAAGTAGAACTGCTTTGGCATTGCAACGCCATTGGCATACAATGCGTCTGTATCATCTGCTAAGGGACCAAACTCCACAGTCTCTTCCTACTGCTTCCAAACCTGTTTTAACCTTTAGTGACGCCGAAGACCTCCTACAAGACTCAGAACTTAGCGAACCACACGACGAAATTCTAGACCGAGAGCTCCGTCTTCAACAGAGACTAAATGCGAAAGAAATCAGACATTTGGAGAACGAAATTGGGAGGTAAATATTTATATTCTGTCTGAAGATGGCTGTAGGTAATGTTTTTCGTAGATGGAATGTTTTAGTGGATAGCGTAACCGGTATATGTCCAGGAGAAATGGACAGTCAAACGTTGGCAGTGTTAAGAGGTCGTTTGGTCAGGTATTTGATGCGTAGTCGGGAAATAACTATCGGGCGGAGCGCTAAAGGACATGCAGTCGATATTGATTTATCTTTAGAGGGACCAGCAGAAAAAATTTCACGAAAACAAGGGACTTTAAGGTCTGCAGAATATTTTTATTTCTTTTATAAATAATTGCATGTTGTTTTAAAATATTTCTTTTTACAGATTGAGAAATACTGGCGAATTTTATTTGTCTTCGGAGGGTAAACGTCCCATTTTTGTGGACGGGCGCCCCATTATGCCAGGCAATAAAGTCCGTTTAAATGATAATTCGGTAGTAGAAATAGCAAGTTTACGTTTTATTTTTTCAGTCAATCAGGAATTGATCAAAGTTATACATAATGAATCTGTTAGATTTAATTTACCTCCATGAAAACACTAAAAAAAGCAAATTACCCTTAATTATTGAATAATTATTAAGTAGTTGCACCTTTCAGGTAATAAGTGTGGCATTTTAAAGTCAATTCGTTTTTCCTAAGTAAATCTAATATTCAGTAAACATAGAAGCACTGGTTGCAGCAAATAAAGTACAAGTTTTTATAAAATGTTTCTCAATAATCTTTTAAACCCTTACAACAAAAATAACCAAAAAATGATTTGCGAACATTTATTGAATACAAGGAAAAAAAGAGTGAACAAAAATTGCTAAACATATATATAACTAACACTAATTAGAAATAAAAGTAAGCGGTAGAATGATTGATTACGTTTTTTTAATATAAGTTTATGTGTCAAATGACCTGAAAACTAACAATCTCCTCTCTGGTAATCAAGTGTAATGCTTAAAATATTAACAAATATAATTGTTATTATGGCAAATTGTAACATAATAGGGCCTTATAAAAAGGCAAGACATACAGACAAAATTCGAAATACAATTAAAAAGTTCTATCTCTTGGAATGAAAGCTTTTAAATGCAGATCTAAAGTAACAGACGTTTTACTCTCACAGCCCCTCTATTTCTAAACAACCATCAAAGTATTTTGATGAAAAATGCAATAAAAAAATACAATTCTTAACTTTTAACATTTCAAAACTTAAAACCTACATTATTATTGTAGTGTATTATAACCATTCGTAACGATAAAAAAATATGCGATGAGAAAATGCTTGTCTAGTACTTAAACTTGAAATTGGTTCGGACCAAATACCGGGTGTATACCTGAGCGGGGTCGTAGACGATATATCTAAAATTCATATTAAGGAAAAGAATATAACAGATACAAAAACATATATGATAGAAAATGTTATGTAAAGGATACTCGTTATACAATAACGACGAAGAAAAGTCGTTTCTAGTAATAGGTTTTCCCACGGGTACTTCTACGTCTTCGTGTAACTTCGTGTGTTCACTAGGATCGGGATAAGTCTTCCCAACACCCTTACAACTATGTTTTCCTTTAGGAAGCTTTTCAATATATTTTGCAGTTGTCCTTTCGTACATCTAATAAAAAACAAAATAAGAATTATTTACTGCAAGAATATTAATTTTACTGAGAAATAATTGATTAAACATTTAATTTTTATACCTCTCCAAGAGCGACTTCGCACAACAACAAGAGACCTGCACTGTTGGTAGATGAGGCGCAACAATAATTTGCAGATTTAGAGACCATGTCTGCAAAATATATACCCTTGCCAAACATATAACCAGTAGATGGGGCTTCGGGGGGCGCTATACGCAGGCCTTGACATAAAATCCCACCGTAATTCGTAGTTCTAGAACCGTGCCACAGTAGCTTTCTGTAGACAAAAATAATCAGTAAACAAAAATAATACAACAGCATGAGTTGTTGATATGAGTCTACCTGTTATGTAAACTCTTGTACTTCTTATAACGTTCTTCTTCACCATATCGCACAACCGCAAACACTTCGTGAATTTCCAATTCGTAGTTGGTATGAGTTGGGGCATGGGTCTTTTTAACATATTCTTCAATCACTTTGAACTCCACACTTTCGCGGTCCAAAACGTGGATATCGGCCTTAAGCTGAGCGTACTGTGCGTCTGCAGGATTTCCACCCTTTTCGTTACTCTCCTTCATTAAATTATAAGCTATCTCCATTTCCATCAGAGCTTCCAACATCTCGATCTTTTTCTATATGAAACAATAAAAAAGAAGACTAACTTTGTAATTTTGAAAAAGTTTTTCTGCTCACTTTGATGTCTTCCAGGTCATCGATTAAAGGTGGATTATCCACTCCAAAATTATGGGGTACAAGTGTGTAAAAGCGATTACAAGCGTCAATAATTTTGTCCCGATTATCCTTATTGCTACCATTTGAAACAAAAGATTGCAATTCAGTTAATACACTGTAAGCTTTTTGAAGTTGTTTTTTGCTCAGTTTACCTGGTAAGATATACATATATACGCATAATTATACGAAAAATTTTTAGAAACTAAAAACTTACCCAAGGGCATTTTCTCCATATCTAACTCAAATTCGAGCATAACTTTCTTCATATTTCCCAAGTCGAAGATTAGGTGCATTAGATCTTCCACTGGTTTTGGTAGAGACGATGGTACGTTTGATGTTTTTTGTAATACCTCGTCATCGCCATAGTCCACGTCAATGGGATACATTTTTCCGGGCACCTTTTCGAAATCGTCACGGGTTTCCCAATCGTTACCAGTCTTCTCCTCATACAAGTTACAAAAATGGTTCTTGGCTTCATGTAAACTCGACATTGGTTCTACTTTTGAACTACCAATTATTGTTCCTATACGACCCCACGATCGAAACACCCAATACCTAGAAACAACATCGCATTGTAATCTATCATAACACAAAAACAGAAGACGTTACTTGTTTTTGTTGTCGGCCTCTAAAAGTTGTAGCTTGTAGAAGCTGTTCTTCCCTGATTGTATATCTGTTTTCCCAAGAATAACTGTGTATTTGTCTTTTCCGTGGACGTAGACATGTGCCTGATCTTCCAAATTTGAATCAGGATCAACTGTGGTGCCCCCTTTTAATTGTAGTTTCACTTTACTGGGTACAGACTTAGTGTACATACTACCCGACTTGGATTTCGTAAGCAATTCGTCTTGTGGCAGTCGTTTACTAGGCTTGAATGTAAAAGATTCATTTTAAGATGGAAAAACGACAAATAATGTGCCTATTTCAGTAAATAACTCACGTCAGAGCCCCAATTACAGATGCTTTTTTTCAGAACTAGTTCGGGGATTTTGCCGGTATTACTTTTAGCCTCCTCCAAAAAATCTTCAGAGACGACTTGGATATCGGCGTCTTGAGCCTGATTTATGCGCGACGATTCTTTGGCAACCTCCTCAGGGGTCGATATCACGGCCATTACGGTTTTGGAAATTTTTGTGACAACTTTTCCCCCCAATAGCGTTATAGACTTCTTGAGATCGTCTTTATTTTTCGAGAGATTTCCCAGCAATACGAATTCCATGTTGTAAAGAGGAGGCTTCTCCCTTGACACTTTAGGCCTTTAAATTTCAAAAATAAATACGTAACTCGATTTTAGTAACTTAAATACTTACAGATGATCACCCTCTTTCTCATCCTTTTTGACAATGGTACTAGAGGCCGGTAAGCCCTCTTTAACTGCTCTATCCATTTTCTTATACTTGTATTTTTTTAAAAATGAGTATTCCTTTTTAAGATTATTAGGGATAACACATTTTTTGCGTTTGGGGATTTTTACAAAATTAGTGCATTTAGCCCACTCTGTAAGATCTCCAGTGCAGATGTAACCATATTTGTGGAAGATAAGCTGTCCCTTGCATTTTTCACATGGCAATAGAGCCCCAAACGTCATTAAATCGCTAACACGATCAAGTATCTGATAATTAAATAATATCTATTATTAGTAAAAAAAAAATAATAGTTAAATTTACCACATCAAGCCCTGCAGGTACTTCCTGATCATTTTCGTCTAGGATGTCTATAAGTTCTTGTTTGGAAAGAGCACTTAAATTGTCACGAAATTTGTATAATATTTTATTCTGCTCTTTCATTTCCTTTTCATTGGAGTTATCAACTGTATCTTCCTCTTTTTTAACTTTTTTGGCATCTGGTTCATCTTCTTGTTTTATGGGCCTATTACATTATAGAAATGCAATAGCAGTTATCATATTAAAAGGAACTGAAATGACTTACGGTATCTCTTTTTTTGCCACAGTTTGATCTTCCTTATTCAGCGTTTTAAAACCAGGTAATTTGTCTGCCCCTTCAAAATACTGTAGCTCTGACCGTAGTTTAGCAAAGCATGTAAGATGATGCCACATATCTTGTCCACCATATTTCATTCCAACTTCTGTTTCATAATCTTTCTTAGATATCCTTACCTCTCCTTTCATAATCTTTTGCTCGCAGCCCCTGCATGTGGCCCTACTAGACTTGGAGTACTCAATTTTAAAATCCGCTAAAGCTGCTTTAATTGCTGCAGCCTCTTTCTTATCGCGTTTTTTTCCCTTTTTAGGAAGAGGTACAACTGCTGTGGCAACATCAGTAATTTGTTCTTTTATTTTTTCCTGATCTTCCCAACGTAAACTTTCAAAGTATGCAATGTCATCAACAGATTTTGGCCTTTGTTTCTTACCAAAAAAGCATTTCATGTGATACCAAAAAGGAACTTTACCATCAAACATTGCCGACTGTAATATTGCATTAATTAACAAAAAACAAAGTAAGATAACCATAGGAAATCAATTACCTGCACCATTCTGGCTATTCGTAATGAACCTTGGCCAATATTGCTCTTGCAGCCCTTGCAACTGGCTCTACCGCTTTTTGCATATTCTGCACGAAACGGTAACTCTTCCATTATTGCTGTGAACTTCAAACTTACACTATATCACGGATTACGAACACCTACTGATTAATTTTTTTATTGATGATGAATAAGTATTTCAACATACAATCTAAGTAGAAATTAAACATTTGCTTTTCAAGTAGCGGGAAACGTAGGCGCGTTACTTTTGCTTGCTTGTATTGTGTTTAATAATATTGTAATATATTATAGGTTAAGTTAATATCGTACATCTATGTTATGCATAGATCATAGATAAATATTATGTTACCTTACATCTATAGTAGCGCTATGTGCCCCATAAATGCAAATAGTGAATGTGAATTCAATATTGTGAGTTCAATGGTGTGAATATTTATGGTTGTGAATTTTATAGGTCAATGGAATTTTATAACCTTTATAGGCTCATAACCTTAACTATTTAAATAAGAAAATGATGAAGAAATATGAATTCATTACAAGTAAATGTTGAATTCGGGTTAGTAATTAGTTAATTCCAGTTATTTATAGTGGTTATTATTTCTTTTTTTTTAGAGGGGGAGCTGAACTTCTGTTTGATAATAAAAAGACCGTTACAATTAGCCTTCCTGAAAAGAAGGAGAAATGTAAATATTTGCAATTTGTAATTATAAAGTTTTAAAAAACTCTTATTTTTAGGGACAATTGAGCACTTATTAATTTGGATAAAAGATAATCTTCTTAAAGAAAGACAGGAAATGTTCCTACAGGGTAATTCTGTGTAAGTCAATCGCATATAAACTTATTGCTTGTTTAATTTTAAAATTATTGCAGTCGTCCTGGTATTTTAGTGTTGGTTAATGATACTGATTGGGAATTAATGGTAATATTACCATATTTAATAATGGTCCACAGCTAAAATTTTTTTTTGCAGAATACAATAAACTATATTATTCAACCAAATGACAGAATTCTTTTTATATCAACATTACATGGAGGATAAATAAGATTAAAAAAAATTGTTTTATAAACTTATTTAAATGGCATTTTTTTTCAGTAACAAAATCAAATCACTTTTTATTTGCTTGAAGTTTGTTTTTACAGAATGTTATTATTTATTGTATTACTATTACAGTGAATTTTTCAATACTATTTGTTTTTAAACAGTAAATTTCAATATCCTGTCTAATTTTCGTCTATGGGCATATTATTAACCAACTTTCAGTACCTATTGACTAATATTTCCTATTATTATCATTTTGTTAGTTAATATTTTCAAATATTAACTCAATTTCTGTTATTAGAATATTTTGTTTAATCTATCTTCCCTCACAGTGACTTATTTTTGTTTCGAATTTTAAATTACCCTATTTGTTTGTAATTTGTAATTTTCGTGAGAATACCTATAATTTCTTTTATATGTAGTTTCTAAAAAGAAAATGAAAGAAATTTTTATTTAGCTCCTTTAGAAAAGAAGAACTTTTTTTCTTTTTTTACTTCAATTCATATTCAATATATAAAATAGTNTTAATTTTTATTATTTATATATAACAAATAACAATATCACATAATTTTTTTGTTGATTTAATTTTTATCGTTAATTTCTGCTGTAAATACAATTATCTGAATCAAATAAAAATCAATAAAGTCAAACAAATTTAAGAAAAACAATTTATCAAAATTTTTAAACAAAAGGAGAAAAGTATGGAATATTTGCTAATTATATAATTGATCAAGCGAAACAACTTAAAAAATCCTATTATTAAAAACAACTGAATTATTTAATTCTTATGTAATTTATTTCTTGTTACCCTCTTGCTGCATTTCTTTGTATGTGAACGTTTTAAGATAGTCCCTTTTAAAGAAATAGAAATCAAAACAGGGAAAAATAGAAACATGTAGAAGTTATTTGTAATTACTTTTAATTACTAAAACAACATGGTAATAGTGTAAATGAGAAATTCATAAGCCTTTAAAAAAAAAGCAATTATAACTTCCAAAACGAATGTTCTTGGTCCGATTAAAAACTATAAAATTATTAAATTCATAAACCAAATATAAGTCATTTCATAAGCTTTAACATTCTCACAACATAAAAAATATTAAGATTTTTTTTCCTTTTAGTATAAAGAAACTTATACGTATAAAGCTTTATAACAGCTGATAAAGTCCTTAGAATATTAAATAAATTAACCTGCAAAAAGAAATTAATGAATTGGATTAACAATTATCAATTTATAAATCAATAACGTTTACTTTTGGCAAATATGCTAAAATGCTCTTATTTATATAATTTTCAACTTTAAAATGAGTGTTTTGGGTTGCCTATCTTAACATTCAGTTTCAGTGAATAAATTTAATATTGATCCATCGTCAGAGGTGACCTTTCATTCGTTCGACAGGACCGGACTAAAAACTTTTGTGAGATACACAAGTAATATTTTATAGGTACCTAATTTAAATAAGTTGGGCATTTTAAATTATCATACAAAAATGTTTAGGTGAATGTTTTAAATGAATATCACAAGATTTTTAATGTTTGCACATGTCTGTTTTAGCAATTAATCTTTTAGAAACTCGACGAAAATTCATCATGAAATACATATAGGTATCCATAGTTTTAAATAATGTATAATTAACTTTTTTCCTATTCAGTTTTTGATGATAAAAGTTACAGATGTTATAATTCTCATTTCTTTCTGTTTGAATATAATGGTCGAAATACTTTTCTGAATCCGTGCCTGCTGTAATAGTTGTTTGTCGTTTAATCCTTATTGCGGTTGCGGGTAAAGGAGACAATTGTGATAACGATCTGCTATTTATTTCGTAATATACTGGAAAACTTATTTTCGTGTTGTTTCTTGAGATTTTGTTTNTTTTTATCGTTAATTTCTGCTGTAAATACAATTATCTGAATCAAATAAAAATCAATAAAGTCAAACAAATTTAAGAAAAACAATTTATCAAAATTTTTAAACAAAAGGAGAAAAGTATGGAATATTTGCTAATTATATAATTGATCAAGCGAAACAACTTAAAAAATCCTATTATTAAAAACAACTGAATTATTTAATTCTTATGTAATTTATTTCTTGTTACCCTCTTGCTGCATTTCTTTGTATGTGAACGTTTTAAGATAGTCCCTTTTAAAGAAATAGAAATCAAAACAGGGAAAAATAGAAACATGTAGAAGTTATTTGTAATTACTTTTAATTACTAAAACAACATGGTAATAGTGTAAATGAGAAATTCATAAGCCTTTAAAAAAAAAGCAATTATAACTTCCAAAACGAATGTTCTTGGTCCGATTAAAAACTATAAAATTATTAAATTCATAAACCAAATATAAGTCATTTCATAAGCTTTAACATTCTCACAAGATAGTCCCTTTTAAAGAAATAGAAATCAAAACAGGGAAAAATAGAAACATGTAGAAGTTATTTGTAATTACTTTTAATTACTAAAACAACATGGTAATAGTGTAAATGAGAAATTCATAAGCCTTTAAAAAAAAAGCAATTATAACTTCCAAAACGAATGTTCTTGGTCCGATTAAAAACTATAAAATTATTAAATTCATAAACCAAATATAAGTCATTTCATAAGCTTTAACATTCTCACAACATAAAAAATATTAAGATTTTTTTTCCTTTTAGTATAAAGAAACTTATACGTATAAAGCTTTATAACAGCTGATAAAGTCCTTAGAATATTAAATAAATTAACCTGCAAAAAGAAATTAATGAATTGGATTAACAATTATCAATTTATAAATCAATAACGTTTACTTTTGGCAAATATGCTAAAATGCTCTTATTTATATAATTTTCAACTTTAAAATGAGTGTTTTGGGTTGCCTATCTTAACATTCAGTTTCAGTGAATAAATTTAATATTGATCCATCGTCAGAGGTGACCTTTCATTCGTTCGACAGGACCGGACTAAAAACTTTTGTGAGATACACAAGTAATATTTTATAGGTACCTAATTTAAATAAGTTGGGCATTTTAAATTATCATACAAAAATGTTTAGGTGAATGTTTTAAATGAATATCACAAGATTTTTAATGTTTGCACATGTCTGTTTTAGCAATTAATCTTTTAGAAACTCGACGAAAATTCATCATGAAATACATATAGGTATCCATAGTTTTAAATAATGTATAATTAACTTTTTTCCTATTCAGTTTTTGATGATAAAAGTTACAGATGTTATAATTCTCATTTCTTTCTGTTTGAATATAATGGTCGAAATACTTTTCTGAATCCGTGCCTGCTGTAATAGTTGTTTGTCGTTTAATCCTTATTGCGGTTGCGGGTAAAGGAGACAATTGTGATAACGATCTGCTATTTATTTCGTAATATACTGGAAAACTTATTTTCGTGTTGTTTCTTGAGATTTTGTTTGGAATGATTCACGTACTGTATAACGTTTTAAAAATACTCTACAAAAATAATATTATAAATGCCAGAAGAAATATTAGGTCAAAAATAAAATAAAATGAAAATATATGTAGAAATAGATATTTGAACATTTACAAATTGCAATGATAAGTACAATTAATAAATTGATTAGGTATTTATTAAAATAGCAATTAATTAAATTTGCTATCATTTAGTATGCAGTATTTCCAAAGGAAAAACCGAATGCTTATAAGATCACTTGTGCGTCTGTCGTCGGCCTGCCACGGCTGATTTTTCGAAATCAAAAATTTTACTTTTTTTATTGCATATTTAGTGGAATAGGCTTATGGAGAATATTTCAAAGAGAACATTTTCAAATTATAGCTTCTGGAACAACCTTAAGTGCTTAATATCATTTTCTTGAGGTGTATCGCCCTATTCTGGAAATTTGACTATGATGATGATAATCTATAAACTTTCGGCTTTTTAAAAATGCCAAAACGGCAATATTTTTTTCATTATTTATACACTTAAATTTCCAAGTGGTTAATACTAAATATTAATGTGACAATTCATTCTTAATTTTTAACCCGGGTTCGACTCAGGGCGAGGGTGTGACAACAGCAACAATTTTTCCTCATTAATTTGAGGTAATTTATAAAGAAAAACTTGAGTGGTATTCTGGGTAAAACATTTATTTCTATATTAATATTTTCTACAACTTTCGTCAACTATAGTTGACCTCTTCAGACAATCTATTATTTTTCTAATTTTTATTTTTAAGGCAACTACTCAACTCCGTTGTAAGTTGCCATTTTTCGAGTGATTGTCTTAAAATAAATGTTAGAACAATAATAGATTGAAGAAGTCAACTATAATTGACGAAAGCATGCACAAGATATTATCACATTTCGATTCATACAAAAACAGCCCATTAATTTTCAAAAACAAATTTTTAATCGCTTTTTTTTTCAAAAGGAGTAAAATGTCTTGTTTCTCGATCGACCGTTCAAGCATACGACTGTTAAAGAGAGCAAGTATTCGGAAAGTGGAAGATAGAAAATTGCACTCGAACAAAAGCTAAAAGTATTCTTAACAGTAAAAAAGATTTATTACATTTAAAAAAATATAAAAATCGACTACAACCAGTTAGATAATGGTATGGCATTCAAACAATGATACAGCTTTCAACTTTGGTTCGTTAATTTCCGAAATTAGCCCCTTAATATCACAAAATAGCCAAACTAATTCATTCTCTTCAATTCAATTCAAACTTTAAAATGTTTCAATTCATACAAGAACAACCACATTAATTTTCAAAGCATTTTTTTAATAGCTTTTTATATTAAAAACGAGCATTATTTCTTGTTCTCTCGGTCTATCTCTCAATCCACCTATGTCACCAAAAATAAGCAACACAGAGACACCCCTACCCCCACCACTTGGTGCTTACTCAATACTTGAAGGGCCCCTTATGTATAGGTAAATTGTTCAGAAAATTGTTATATATTTTCTGATAGAAAACTCTATAGTTTCCACCATACAACTACAGTTGACGAAAGCTTGCAGTAAAAAATTTACATAGAAATAAATGTTATACGCAGATTACCACTCAAGTTTTTCTTTATTCGATTTCTTGGGTAAGATTTTTGTACTCTTATTCTTGAGGTAATTTATAGTGGATAAAAGAGTTTTATATTCAATTTTTAGTAATTGTAATTTAATAATTTTCAGTAATTTAGTAAGTAATAATTTTAGTCTGGCAGCCCAATC